AAGAAATCAAAGAACGTAAGTCTGCCCCTTGGTTCGATGGTGAATATAAAGCACTTAGAAGCCAAAGAAGAAAAGCTGAGACAAAGTGGAAAATCTCCGGATCTTTAACTGACAAGAAACACTATGAATCAATCAGAGAGCAGTGCACAGAACTCTCAGACAGGAAGAAACATGAGTTTTTCAAAGTCGAATTCATAAAGCATTCCTATTCTTCTAAGAGTCTTTTTAGATTTGTGGACACCTTTCTTGATCGGGATAAAAGCATTGTATTGCCTTCGTCGGAGTCTCTCAAGGACACAGTCGAAAACTTTAACGTATATTTTCAGGAGAAAATAAAGGCAATACGAAATAACTTTGATCATGTGGAGTCTGACGATCAAACGCCCTCTTACTGCGGAGAAAAACTAGCTGAGTTCTCTCCAACTACTCTAGAAGAACTAGAGGAGATAATCAAGGCATCTGAGATCAAGTCTTCTTCAATTGACCCTCTACCTGCAAACATCTTTAAAGAAAACCTTGAGGTTCTACTACCCGTCTTAGTTGACATAGTAAATGCTTCATTATCTTCTGGCAGTATTGATGGCGCTAAACTAGCTCATATCACACCCCTGATCAAGGGCCAGGGATTAGATAGTGATAATCTCAAGAATTACAGACCAATATCTAACCTTAGTTTTGTGGGCAAGCTGATAGAAAGAGTAGTGCTCAGGCGTCTAAATGAACATCTAGAAAACAACAACCTGAACATCCCACAGCAGTCTGGATACAAATCAAAACACAGCACCGAGACTCTGCTTGTGAGAGTTGTTAACGATCTACTCATTGCATCTACAGAAAGCAAGGCAACTGTTGTTCTTCTCCTAGATCTCAGCGCAGCTTTTGATACAGTTGACCACTGCAAACTACTGAACATCCTCAGAAATGAGTTGGGAATAACAGGGACAGCTTGGAAATGGTTCAGCAGCTTCCTCACAGGTAGATGTCAAACGATTAAAGTTGGAAATGAGGAATCTTATGAGATAGTGATTAAGTTTGGAGTCCCACAGGGCTCTGTGCTGGGTCCGGTCCTGTTCAACATCTACATTCGCTCTTTGTACTCAGCAGCACATGATTTGAACTTCTCCATCCAGGGTTACGCCGACGATCATCAGCTGTATAAAAGTTTCAAGCCAAACGAGGAGCCCACCGTCCTTATCAACGATGTTCCCAAATGTTTCCAAGAAATTAATGACTGGATGAAAAAACATTATCTACAGCTCAATGCAGGAAAAACCGAGATTCTTGTCTTTGGGACACCGCTTGTTCTCCAGCAGCTGTCCATAGGGGGCGTGTTTGTTAACTCTGAGACGTGTGTCAGGCTGTCACCTGTTGCAAAGAACCTCGGATTTCGTCTCGACTCTCAACTAAACTTTGGTGAGCAAATCAAGCAACTTAAAACATCGTGTTTTCTGAAACTAAGAGACCTTGCTAAGATGAAAACATTCCTCACAACCAAACAGATGGGAACACTGACTCAAGCAATTGTAATCGCATCGCTTGACTACTGCAATGCACTTTACTATGGTTGTAGTCAAGCCTCAATTACGCAGCTGCAGAACATTCAGAACCGAGCATGCCGTCTGGTTTTTGGATTAAAGAAGAGAGACTCAGTCGAGGAGAAGCTCAAATCCCTTCATTGGCTCAAGGTGAAGGAGAGGATTGAGTTTAAGTTATGCTTACTGATTTTCAAAGCAGTCAATGGTGTTGCTCCTGCATATCTGTGTGATCTAGTAACATTTGTTAGTTCAAGTAGCAGAAGAACTTCCTCCTTACACCTACCCGTCGGATCTACAAGATCACACCCAAGAGCGTTTCAGACTGTTGCTCCGAAAATCTGGAACCAACTACCAATTGAAATTAAGACTTGTTCCAATGTTGATCTGTTCAAAACATTATTAAAAACTCACCTGTTTAAGAAAAGTTATGGCATCAGCGATTAATTGACAATATAATAACTTTATGTTATTTGCTTAAACTGTTTAGGATGCAACCTAATGTCATGATCTTTTTGAACTTATTAGCAATTAGACTGTTAGCTCGCTTCACAAGCATGTCATCTTCGTTCCAAAACTTTTTATGTCCTATGCATACACTCCTTGATAGTTATCTTGATCTAGTATCTTTGTTTCACACAATAGAGCATAAGTTTTGTGGTTTATCCACTGGGCTTAGAGTTTGTGTTTAAGCTACCAAATTTTATTATTATTATTATTATAAGTAAATATTCTTTTCGCGATTTAACGAATAATCAATGATATGTTTAAACTCTCAAATAACTAGTAATAGTATAGTCTGAGCAAATTGGAAATTGTATTGCCAAGAGTATAAGTACTATATAATAACGTTGAATAGTTGAGTAGTTGTTGCTTAAAATCCTAAGGATCGATCTTACATGTACATTATTCTATGATAAGCTTGATAAATAATGAATATTTACAAACGATTTTACATTTAACGCTAATATAACATTACGTAATAACATAATATAATAACTATCATAATATCATTAAATAGTCATTGGCCACGCTTGAATGGCTTAAACATATCCATTATATTTCTCGGGCACGCCTTTAACGTCGAAGCGTGTTATTTATTTTCTATATAATTATATTATATATAATTCATTACACATCATATTTATAACATAATATTTAACATAATTTCTATGGCTCGATCCTGGCTGTACGTGTACGAATAATAATTACCTTACGAGACATATTTATGTTCGACATAATTCCGGTGACCTAAATGATTTGGGAGCGAAAATATGGGAATTTTTTCCGAAAACCGCCACATTTCGTACCCCAAATTAAATCATGGTACTCTGGGATTTTTTCATCTCCTTATTTTACAAAATTAAACCTAATATTTGAGAAAATTAGATACAAAGATCTTCTCTGATCAGCTGTTTCATCTTGTAAACCAATGCTGTGAAATTCTCACAAAAGGTACTATTCGAATTAAATTCGCATAAAATAGTAAATACGGGAACAGGAAATCACAGAAACAGGACAACACGTGGCAGGGAAATTATGAAATTACTGCGAAGTTGCGGCTTGAGAGATAGATATGAGACTTGATAATGCTGAACGTTCTCACAGCCGCATTTTTACCGAATTTTCCGTGCATTTCGTGGCGAATTTAACAGCCCTAAAAATTAAAATTTGAAGTAGCATTTTTTGAGAGCTCTAAATATGCGCCGTATGTTTTGACGAAAATTTGGCGGATTTAACAGCCTTGTTGTTAACAATTTCTCCGGAGCCTTTGAAAGTTAGCCTCAACTTAAATTATAATCCTCCAGAGGGTATAGGAGAGCGACAGTGTTTGTTATCTTTCACTACTCCCGAAATTTCACCGCCGTGGCCAATATAGTAGTGACAGAGCTTGCTTATTTTTAATGGAACGTGTCCAAAATCATTTTAAAAAGCAATTTATGATCGAATACTAGTGTTCATTAATTGTTTGATGAACCATATTCATAACTTACTATATTAATAAGTTGAGAGTAAATCGATAAAGTCATAATTAAGGAAAATACGTAAAAAATAATTTGGGGAAAATAATGATGGTGACCTAAATTTTGGTAACTTGTAAGGTATTTATTAATTCTGCAGCTAGTTACACCTACTCAGGCAAAAGTTTACCACATGGCTAATAAGTAGCTGACCTCAACACACTGATCTTATTAGTATAATATATTATAATATAATATATTATATAATAATATATTATAATATAATATATTATAATATAATGATGATGAAGAGGCGTGGTAACACTTCGACACCAAAGCTTAGTAAATACAGCCCGTTTTATGTAAACATGTGTTTACTAATCGACGTAAGTAAACATGATGTGAATGCACGGAATGTTGGTACATATTTCTAACATAACGAAGATACTCAAGATATTTCAGAGAAACATGAAAAAGTACCCACTCGCACTCGAAAACAATACTTTAAGCATCTCGAGCTAGCAAAGTTGCTAGTTAATGTGTACTCATGATGCTGGCCTGTGATAATAAGTACCTGGCTACAGTCGCCTTTACTCCTGACTGTTGTTGCCCACTCTATATCAAAATATTAGATCCTAAGATAGAGTGAGCCGACAACACCTTAACTTTTAACCAGAAGAAGTCACAATAAACTTTGAAATCTCCCAAAGTATTTGGTTAAGCACCAAAACAGTAACAGCTGCAGACTCTAAAGAAAAAAAATACAGCCTCCAAAGACCAGCGTTTAGCACAAAGAGATAGAACAAGTAGAGATTGTTTTGAATAATTCCTTTGAGAAACCGCAAATCAAATGTAAGGCTTGAACATGTTTTGGGATTTGAGATTTTAATTTCAGAAACCAAAACAGCTTCCTTATTTCAATTATGTCATTGTGTTTAGTACCAGGGATGCGTAGTGTTTTTCTTTGGAAAATACAGGATATTTTAAATAATAGTGTTGAAAAGTTACTGAAATGCTAAATAAGTATGGAGCCCCGTTACACTATATTATATGAAATACGGTAAGAACTGATTGCATCCTGGATTTTAATTGAAAACAATGTGTTGAAAAGCGACGGAAATATAAGAATTAAGCAGGAAGGACTGGACTTCAAGGCTGGTCGTCAAAGGCCATTTTACTTTTAAGTCCTGATACAAAATGTGAGCATGAAAATAATATAATAAATTTCAGTTTCTAAAGAATATGGAGCTGCTAAGATGAAAACAGAAAGCGAAGATGTAAAGCAGAGAGAAGTAGAAAAGCGCAAATACAAGTGTTAAGAAAGTGTGAAGCACATCTTGATCCCATTTCATTAAAAAACAAAACGCTGAACGCAAAACTGCGTCCAAACTAGGGAGTCAATAAGCAGAAGCACCATAAAGATGCGGTAAATTTCCGCAAACTATGCGACACCGCACACACCGCACCCAAATGACACCTCCACCGGGAAGCTAACAAGGATACAAACCTCAGCGGGACCGTGGAGTCATTACTTGACGCAGTCTCGTTACCAACTAACAGAATGTTCTGCACTATGATATCGTTCTTACCCCGCTTATTCCTAGTTGTTAGGGGATTTAAGTGATTATTAATTATCATAGTAATTATATTAGCAACAAGAGAAACGCCATTGTTGGACGTGAGGAAAGTGAGGACAGTTGGTGATCACATAATTGACTTGTTCAGTGACTCTCGATTCTCGGAGAATATGACCAGCAAACTGGGACCAACAGCAAAAGTTACTAAAAGTAACTTAAACTAACTAAAAGTAACTCACTCTTTAGCTTTGAGTTCATCCCGTATCTTCTTGTAGTGTTCCTCCTCATACCTCACCACCTCTGTCTCCAGGACCCCGGGGAGGATGCTGGGGTACTTCATCACCACGAACACGGAGAATGGCTTGGGTCGGGGCTCCTTCGCAAACACTACTCTTCCTGGGGTAGTGAGCTTGGTAATGGTAGGTCAATCAGATGTTGGTGTTACTTGCTGTTACTTGCTGTTAACCCGCAATTCAAGCCAGTCAATGCTGTGGAGATATTTAAAATAATCCTTAAACAATAAACAAATCCTATTTCTGAATTCTGATTTCCTTGTTCACGACCAAATCTTGACCTTAAACGGACCAGCGTTACCCCAAATCTAGAAAAACGGAAGATAATCTGCGAAGACAATTTTGAAGACAATTTAATGCCAAAAAGGAAATGTTCAGAAGACCCAGTCGACCTTTTTCCTTTTTTTAGGGCATTAGAAAATTAGAAAAATTTTAGGGGAAACATTGAACTGCGAGGAAATTTTTTGTATGTGGGATGTTCGGGGGTGGGGGGGGGGGGGGGGGGCAATAATACCCATTATTTAGTAGGGGTTTTGTTTTCAATGTAGTCGAATTAGACAAAAAGTTACAAAGAAGGGAAAAAAATTTAAAAAACCCAAAAAAAACCCCAAAACCCATTCCCAAAACTGAAATTAGAGGTAAAATGGTTTTTTTTTGGTTTGGACACCCCCCTGGCCCTTAGTACCATACATACTAACTGTTTTTCTGGGAAATGAGCAGCAGACCCACCACTTAGTACAAAAGTACTAACTGTGTTTTGGAAGAAAATATGACCCAGCCCCCCACCGTCACGTACGATTCTGTCCTTATGATCCCCCGGGGGCCGGGATGTTTACGCATCGAAGATCAGGGAATTCGGGGAAATCAGCGCTTAATTTTCCACGGATCACGATAAGACGGCAATTCGCCGAAAAACGGATTAAAAAATGCCATAATATTACAGTCCTTGCAGTCAGTTAGTACCAAAAATAGGTCGAGGTGAACTTTCCTTGAATTTTTGTCTGTTTACTGGGAATTTAGTCGCAACTCGCAATGAATGATTGGGCATCTGCAAACTTGATGATCTGCTGGAGGAAGCAAAAATCCGCAGACAATGAAAATTTTATTAATATAGAATTTCAGGCATTGATGAGGTTCCTATTACTGACTGAATTGAAAATAAAGTGGTTTATATTTAATAACCCTGACTACGAGAACTTTTAAATCCTAATCCTATCTAAATTTTCTTTCAAAACATATCTAAATTTGAATTTTAATAAGAAACCTTATTTCAAACCGTTATGGAGTTGCCAGGGGTGCTCCCCACTCACCATTTTAATACATAATGTTTGTGATTTTTTTACGCTTTTACATTTTTCTATGATTATTGTAAATAAAATGTTTAAAAGCGTTAGTGCCAAGCTTTATTAGTGCCAAGTTTTCTTCTAATGAACTACCCAATCAATCAACTGTCATTTACCTGGTAATTCTTCCTCAGTTTTGAACTGCTTGAACGATGTTGCATTTTGTGCTTTTGCGCATCCCTGAAGATAAAACTTGTTAAATACTGATAAGAATTTCATTACAGTTCCCACGGTGAATTCGTGGATCCAGAACGACAACAAGCTCATTTTGCGTAAAGTTTAAAAAAAATAAGTGAATCAAAATAAATAAAGTCAAATTTTAATTTGATGCAGATAGGAAGCTATTGAAGAGGTAACAGTACCAGTTTTCCAAGAAAACATAATTATGTTAACGGTATTAACGAAAATTTAATTTTCTTCAGGGTTTGTTTATAGTACAATAATTTGTCGACACGGATGTTTCCTTATTTAATATGATAATACTTCATAAAATAATTTTTTACGACTGATAAGTCACATCTTCGCCATCGGGAGAAGCAATATAAGATTTGGCAGTTATTATTTTTATTATTTTTATTATCTTCACAAGTTATATAACAAAATCGCAGACTCTGAAATCTAAAATAAAGCAGCAGATCAAACCTTGATATTGCAGGCGATAATCTTAATTTTATAGTCCGTAAAGGGTCGTAAGTTGGACATAATGGTGTCAAGTTTGTCTTGGACTATGGTCGTGTTTCGGTCCTTACGCTTCGGGTCTTTTATCTCTACTTCGTAATCTGAAAACATGTGTTTACAATTAGGTAATATATCTGAGCTGGTGGTGAACAATATTTGTTTGGTTACGTGGCAGTGACACTGATTGTGGATTTTGGTTGGTCACGTGAGTATTGTTCTGCGTTTTGGTTGGTCACGTGACTACAATTCTGGGTTTTGATTGGTCAGAACTCAGAAGTGGTGCTGATTGATTTAATCACTGTCCCGTGTTAAAACATACAGTTTACCTTCCCACACGTCCCTACATGAATAGATTACAGAATTGTTAAACGAAAGTGAAAACTGTTTGGTGTTCACAGTGGTTAACATGAATAATAAAAGTGTTATTAACACATTTTTATTTAATTTGTCAATGTGTCCTCACTACTAAACTAAAAGTTCAAAGTGTACACTAACTAACATATCATATCAACGACTCACTAATAAACTAATAATATTAGTTTTTATTGATCAATCAATCAAGCAACAACTTTATTCACTGGATTTAAAATCTATGAATCTATCTGAACATAAAATAAAATAAAATAAACGAGATCAGGCAAATAAAGCATATTATAATAATAATAATCAAATAATAATAATTAAATATTTCTAATAAACTCACGAAGATTCTGGCTGTGGAATGTGCTGGGATCAGGTTTGTCCCAGCGACACTTGATGTAAGTTGCCCCTGAGGTGCAGGTGAATGACACTATAGCCTCTGTTCGTATTGGTAAAGTGCGGATTTCTTTGGTATCTGCTACTAAACCGTCCTGTATGAAAAATATTTGGGGTTAGAAAAATATCTGGGGTTTTATAGATTTTTACTGAAGTTATGAAGAGTTTTAAAATAGCATAAATGCTGGAAGGTAAGGAATTTGTAAGATTTGTGATTGTTATATCTAGAGAATACGTGTAGTAGCGAAGCTAGTCACTAGTCACGTACCCTGACTCAGGGTACGTGATTTTCCTGATTTCCGGGTATTATATTTATTTAAATAAACAATTTCTAAACTAATCCCATTCCTGTGCAGACTGCAGATAATACACGCATCACGTATTAATAGTTATATTAATTATATTATTACGAATAGGTATTCCGTTAACTATCATAATTTCACGGAAAAAAGGGTCAGAAAGTAGGATAAAAGAACTTACGTTCAGCCAAACTGTAATGGCGTACTGGACACCAGGCCTCAAGTTCGTTAGTTCCGTCCATTCAACCCCTGCTACCAATAACCTAATTGGGGCGTTAATTGGTTAATTAATTAGATGATTAGTTACATTCCGGGGGTGTTTCCCAGAAGAGTGGGTAGTGTAATGACTAGAATATCTACAACTTTTACTTGAACATATAATTTAGAATCAGAGCACGTGATTGAGGATTTAGTGAGAACCTAAGGCTCAGCCGTATGCACTTCTTCACGCGTAACCATCAATCAATTAGTAAGGTATTTATGAAATTGTACTTGTTACCTAATACACTGTAATGAAATAACTATAATGATAATAATAATGAAATAATAATAATAAACATCTGTAATGGCTAGAAGTAGATCTGACGAAGTAACCAGCCTTTTCAACTTACTGATATTTGGTAAACTCGATAAATAATTTCAAGTCAATTAGCTTTGATGTTTCGAGTCTGGAGCCTAAAAGTAAAAAAAGCACTTAGCTGCATAATTGCATAGTTCTCCTAGTCTCAGGATACTATAAAATACACTTGCACTACGGTCATGAAATATTTGACTTCAAACTATTCGAGTGCTCGCTATACATAATACTACGAGTCGAGCAGATCAATTAAAAAGCTAGGTTATAACCGACAGCTATTCCACACTATTGTAGGAGTAGGTCCTTGCATGCATGAACACGGCTCACTGCTGTATTTGGGATAATAATGGTTCAACCTGGGCGAATATTAATATCATCGGCTTGGTAAGGAAAATGTAACCTAAATAATGGAACTGCGTACATGGTTCACTATAAATGTGTTCATAGTGTTTGGGTGCCTATTATATTTTACATCTGGGGTTATATTTTCGAACGGTTTTTGATCAGTTATTGCTGTTCTCTGTCAAATTTAAAAAGTCTTTAATAAAACAAAAAGGAAAATGTAACCTTAATAAGAAAACCCGAAAGAACGTTATGAATGAACTTGGAATGTTCATGTTCGACTAAACACAGTGACAAAGGAATTACTTTTGAATATCTGACCTTCACATAGAAATGAAGACTCTATAACTCTATAAAGCCCGCTCCTCGAGTTTTAAAGTACAAATCAGCAATCTCCTTATAATAATCCTAGTACAATAATATCTTTATTATAATATATGTGGGCTTCCCGCTTACCGCAGGAGGCCAGCGTCCGTTGACCGTAACCGAGAGAGAGAGAGAGAGAGAGAGAGAGAGAGAGAGACCATTATTATAAGGATTATCCCCAGGCCTCAAACGACCATATCCATTCAGAGATCCCGACTCTCCGACAACAGCTCTTCGAGACTGGTACGTCTCATCTCTTTGTTTATCTTCGAGCAGACAATTACATCTGCAAACATAACTGAATAACATTTGGAGCTGAGAAGTCAGTCCATGTGGAAATTGTGGATAACTCGATGAAGAGCAGACTGCCAATTGTGCCAAAGCGTCCTGCAGTGACACAGCTTTGATTTCCCACATACTGTGTATAGTACTACATGCCTACTTTTCACGTACGTTTGGAATTCAAAATCATCAAAAATCACAAAAAAAAGAACCCTGATCGAGTTTGTAATAAACCTAACTTCATTCCCCTGAAGTTTGCAGTCACTGGGTCCAGAGCACCTCTAAATTCAACTGGAACTACTTCAGCACATTTTTTAGAATCTCTCCCGGAAATACCATGTTTTCTGATCCGATGCCAAATTCAGAGCTCGGCAGATTCTTAAAGATGCACGTTGAAATACTTTTCGACGGTGGCGGTGCTACCTCCACTGTCGAAACACTCGACTACTGAGAGCGTATTACAGTATCCTGAACCCAGAGCCACTGGCCTTTAACGTCTGGGTTCCGAACTCCGAAGAGACAATGATCCAGTGCCTAACATTTGATCTAGGAATCTATAGTACCACTGACATTTCTAGTGAAGCTGAAGATCTGGTTTCCGAGAGACGTTGATTCAAAGCTTATGATTTTATTTATTTATCTGCGGGATCAATGGAATTATAAATTCTGTCTATTGTCTAAAAGGAGCAGCAACGTAATGATCTGGCTTTATCATAATTTTATAACTACTTTACTAAAATTTCACTGCTACAATATAACTGCTTTCGCTCTGACGGAACGTGACACAAAATAAAACTGACTATAAAATATAAATATTCCATATCCAAGAAGCTTTTAAAAGATAAATTATCTTTTATTGTCTTGAATTTATTTAAAAAGTGAATCAATGCCTGACTTTTGATTCACCTTGTAACTATTTACTAAAAATAGGTATTATGTATAAATAGCCATATTTACTAGGTACAGGTACAATTGTAATAGTTAATAATAACTTAATAGTTAATAGTACTATGTTTACAGTATGCACTGAAGGGGTATCCTAGGAAGTTTCTTGAACTTTTAACAGGTACCCCTCCTCATTTAATCCTCAATTAAGTTTCCTATCATTCGGCTGAGTCGACTGAGGAGATCGCATAGATCCAATGGATCCTTAGCTACTCCCTAGACTAGGTATGTAGTCTGATATATAGTATACTTTATGATATCTTATATTTAGACATTAGTTTATATTTATAATTATTTTTGTAATACCGCAGAATACTTAAAACTCGTACGATACTCAGCCCCAGTCGTAAAAATATACTTGTGCAAAAAAACACGTATTATATCTACAGCCATGTTCGTAAAATCACGAACTATCCACAGCGCTTCGAAACAATCTATCTACAGCCAGATTCCGGGTTCTTAAAAAACACGAACAAGCCGCTCCCATTAATTCCAGAAGGAGGAAAGTCTGGGAGACGAAGGAAACTTTTGTTGGGATGGAATGTTTGGGTGCCAAAGACTCGAAGAGGGATTTTGAAAAACGTGTCCACCTGAGTTGACAAAATGCGAGCGGGCCACAGAAAAACAAATGATTTAGGATCCCTCCCTCCCTCCCTCCCTCCCTCCCTCCCTCCCTCCCTCCCCCCCTCCCTCCCTCCCTCCCTCCCTCCCTCCCTCCCTCCCTCCCTCCCTCCCTCCCTCCCTCCCTCCCCCCCTCCCCCCCCTCCCCCCCTCCCCCTCTCCCCCTCTCCCCCTCTCCCCCCTCTCCCCCTCTCCCTCTCTCCCTCTCTCCCTCTCTCCCTCTCTCCCTCTCTCCCTCTCTCCCTCTCTCCCTCTCTCCCTCTCTCCCTCTCTCCCTCTCTCCCTCTCTCCCTCTCTCCCTCTCTCCCTCTCTCCCTCTCTCCCTCTCTCCCTCTCTCCCTCTCTCCCTCTCTCCCTCTCTCCCTCTCTCCCTCTCTCCCTCTCTCCCTCTCTCCCTCTCTCCCTCTCTCCCTCTCTCCCTCTCTCCCTCTCTCCCTCTCTCCCTCTCTCCCTCTCTCCCTCTCTCCCTCTCTCCCTCTCTCCCTCTCTCCCTCTCTCCCTCTCTCCCTCTCTCCCTCTCTCCCTCTCTCCCTCTCTCCCTCTCTCCCTCTCTCCCTCTCTCCTCTCCTCTCTCTCTCTCTCTCTCTCTCTCCTCTCTCTCTCTCTCTCTCTCTCTCTCTCTCCTCTCTCTCTCTCTCTCTCTCTCTCTCTCTCTCCTCTCTCTCTCTCTCTCTCTCTCTCTCTCTCTCTCTCTCTCTCTCTCTCTCTCTCTCTCTCTCTCTCTCTCTCTCTCTCTCTCTCTCTCTCTCTTACCGTATAGGGTCTTCATCCCAGTCCTTATTCTGACACCACACCTCGTAGACAGGGTCCCTGTTGAACCCGGAGTTTGGTCTGTTCCATCGGACTGTTATTTTGTTTGTGGTCCGGGCTAGTTCCGTTAAAACGTATGGTCCTTGGTTCGGTTCTGTGCCTGTTACTACAAGCTGAAACACAAGGAAATTTTGAATATCTCTGGGGGATTCGCTGCACGTTGATTACAGAATATTGTCACATTCAATGAAAAAATCCCTAACTTTTTTTATATTTTTTAATTTAAATTTTTGAAATTTAAATCTTTATAAAAAGGTGTTATTAAGTTTAAATATCGTACCAGGATAGGGGGTCCAATAGCCCAGCCCTCGTCATTTCCAGCGACTATCTGATAGTAACCAGCATCCCCAAACACCACGTAGTCAATGGAGAACGTTACTATGTCATTATTGGAGGCGTTGTAAGCGCACCTGGTTGGTGGAAGTTGGTGAGGTCACCAGAATATGGGTCACTGATTGGTGCAGGTGGGTCACATGACTATAATGAAGGCTGTTGATTGGTGCAGGTGAGTCACATGACTAGAGTGAAGGCTGTTGATTGGTGCAGGTGAGTCTCGTGATGTGAATACAATTTGTTGAATGATTTCGTGACTGAAATGTTTGTTTTTAAAAAACTGATAGGGGTCAGAAAACTAATATATCAAAACATATAAATTTGTGCAATTTGAATTATCATCTTGATTCTAGATGCTAGTATTATACAATATCATGTCCGAAGGAACTTAAACTTCCAAAGTTTGATTCAAGTGACGGTATTGGTGAGTATAAATTGAAGATTTCCTAGTGAGAAGTAGCTCATATCTAGACTGTTTTCCAAGAAACCCTAAGTAAAAATGGACAAATCTAAACGTTTTTGTCTACAATACAAAATTACAGACTGAATTACCAAGTTACTTCCTTAACCGCGACACAATTACGGCATCAGGTAAAAAACAAATTAAGCTGGCAAAACTTCAAAATCACTTTAATATTGAGATCTCAATTATTGTCGATCCGGTCGGGCGGTCGTTTATGATGAAAATTTAAACCTTGATTCACTGGCAATTGCAAATATCCCATGATGTTGATAGGACCAATATTATATAGGATAAATTAGATTAAATGTTATAAAATTGAAGGGATCGCATACATAAAATTAATTTACTTATCAACGAGTTATCAATCAAGTTTAATCTTTATCTCTTTATTGTCATAAGCAAATTTATCTGGTTAATAATAATTGGTAGTGGCGTCAGGCCGGAGATAGTTTTCGGCGATACTCCAAATAGAAAGATTTAAGACAATAACTCAATAAGAATGCTTAGATTTTTTAAGCCCATCCCGAAGTCTCAAAGACCTTCAGAACCTGAGATATTCTATTTTAAACTCCTTGGGTAAATTTTTTGAGCTCTTGCTTTATATCGAAACTTTAATCCATTAGGTATCTCTGTGTAAAGATTTTTCAATAACTCCACGAATCAATATTTTTTTCCGATATAAAGGACCAGAGACTTGGGTGCCACGCCAAAAAAGTTCAACGGTTATTGGTTGAATTCTTTAATAAAATACGATTTTGTCGATAAGTTCATTACTTCAAACTGACCAAAGGAAACTTCCCTGCTTGGGGAGTCTGGCGTTAAATTTTTTAAATAGAAATAAATCGGGGGATTAATCATGGACCATCAATTTCAATGGTTCGTGACCGAAAAATACGATTTATTTTTTTATAAAGTATTTATTTATAAGTGTATTCGTTTCTTCAGAATCAGACTGAATCATCATGACCATAACTGTATTGCAGTGTTTCATAAATGCAGATTGAGCTTTGTCTCTCAAAAATCATAATATAATTTCCTGCTTTTATTACACTATTAAACAATAAATTAGGACACTTAGATGATGGATCAAATAGTTTCACGTCGACCCACAGATATTAAATTGGACAAATTGAACAATTCGAACAATTTGCACAATTCGTACAATTTTGACATGGATAATTTACGCTATGTGCCATCCACCATGGCCATCCGGCATATCCCAGGCGTGGGAAATGTTTTTAGTGTTGAAAAGACACATGAGAACTTTAATCGTGTTTCCCTGTATCTCTTCGGATGAGAAGTTAGGAGTTAACTCAAACCGGAAACTCTGAAAATACACGTTAAACACACGTTTAACACACGTTGAATACACGTTGAATACACGTTGAATAAACGTTGAATACACGTTGAACCTTAGAATAACCGGCTACTTTTTTCAGAATTAAGTTTAAAATTAAACATTTGAACATAAAGGTATTTAGAAGTAAATCGATGAACAAGATCTTAAAATAACAAATATTGGATTAAATTATAATTTTGATGGATACATCATACATACTAGAATATATATAATATAAAATCATTTAATATGCTTCTCATCATTGTTAGAACAGATCATTAGTTTTATTGGACATCTGCTAGACATTACTTCTGCTCGACTAAATTATGAATCTTTTCAATATAAAGTTTTATCACTAAACGACTTATAATTCTGTCGAACAGAGTTGATACAATCATTTATCGATGTAATCAGGATCGTTTCAGTGCATTATAATTGAAAGAGTTTGACCTCTCGAATCTCGATCATAGATATTATTTTTGTGATAAAAAGTTAAATGTAAGTTACCCGGACAAACACTGCATTTGTCAGGTAAAAAACGTTAAAAAACGTTAAAAAACGTTAAAAAACGTTTAAAGGAATATTACTCTCAGACTCATCTTCTATAATTCATCATGTCCACTCTTCAATGTTTCAACCTTTCTTAAGTTCCGTATGTTCCAACCTTGACTCCGTGTCGACTAGAAATATGGCGAAAGTATGGCCATTTTTGACCACCCTTATTATGGCCACTTTTGAAAAATCCAGAATTAACCAAAGTTGGCTTTTGGCCATAATACGATAAAGCCAAGATGAACGCAGAGCTAAGCGGTACATGCCTCATGGCTCATTGCGTCCGTGTACTGGAGTCTATGATGAACAAATGACGTGTAAAGCTCTACACACCAATATCATGAATATATCATTATAATAATAACATAAGCGCTTCTTTGGGTCAGACTTCTCGTCCCGTAAAACAAACTTCTGGGTGTAGCGAGGATTCTTTAGTTAATATGAGGGGTTTAACAATTGTCATGTAGCGCCATGTTGGGAGGTAAGGACTAAGGAGAATTTTAAAGTTTATTTTAATGATACGATGTGGATTGTAGGTACATTATACGGTATAATGTACGTACATTATACATACATGTACATTGTGCGTCGTACTTACAGATGTGACTCTAAATATTCGTTCCGTAACGTAGCAACAAGATAGAATTATCACAGACTCACAGAATTATGTTGTACATTTTTTGGTCATACATCCGGATCCCGACGTCACTCTCGAGGCACTGTCATGGCACTGTCGTGGTACTGTGGCGGCACTATGGTGGCACTCTGGTGGCATAGTGCCACCTTTCAATCATGTTCGTTCAAAAGCATAAGAAAATCATTATACCTTCATTATTATCTTTTCACAACAACCACGGTGGGCAATTCCACGGTAAGGTTCCACTTGGTGAAAATGAAAAATGTTAAGATAGGCACCTAATTTTGATTAAAATATGTTCATTAGACTCTTAACCTTACAAGTCAACAAAAGTTTTTTGTTTCATATTGCGTTAACTTTTGATTTTTCTCATTCAAAGGAACACTACTCGGAAATGAAAAAAATTGTTCAAATTTTCAAAGGGCCATAGTTTGGGTATGCAGCAATATTTCTCTATGAAATTCCATACACTTAGGCATATGCATAAGAATGAGAGCTATGCAAAGTTTCAAAACCGTTACTCAAATACTTTTTCTAAAAAATTTCCACAAAGATGGTGTCACGTCCGTCACAAAATTAAGCAAAAAAGTTTTTTCAGAGCCACATAGTGCTATTTATATTCAAAAAACCACTGTAACCTATCTCTTCTGAAGGTAAGGGAGTACCGTAGAAATTATCAGGCTTGTATCTTTTAAGAAAAAAATTTTGTAAGGGGGGTCCCAACTTGTCGCGTCCGTCACATTTTTTGAAAATGCTCCAAAAAATCTTTAAACAGACTTTAAAGGCATTTTTCTTAAAGCTGAGGCCGTCCTCAACAAAACTATGTCGTCAAATCAAAAATTGGACAGAAAATGACCGAGTTATGTATAATTTTGTATATGCCCATATATGGGCATACGGCTCACTTTTAGCCATTTTTATCCATATTTCCATTATTTTGACTAAAACCAAGACAAATAGAAGTCAAATAAGGTTGGATTGTGTTGACCATGTTGACTAGACTATCAAATAACATCATATGCAATTCAATAATTTAATTTACTGATTTTTTGCCATTTTATTTGCTTACAACTTTTTCAGAGGTAAAAGGCACAAAAAATGGACTTAACCCTATTTTCGCATATTTTTGAAGTAAAAATTCAATATCTTCCACATTTTAAACACTAAAGTAATGAAACTTTTAGGAGATGGTCTCAACAGTATGATGCGTTGAACAGTGATGAATGTTTTACCAGAGTTATAAATTTGTTCAAGTAGAGAAATAATTGATGCCCCTAGACTGATACCCTAGCGTATGCCCAAAATGGACGATTTTGGCTGTTGCAGACCTCTTGGGGGTATTTGAGGCCTAAAAATTGGCATGAATACAGAGTAGATGTCACTGAACAAGATAAAAGTGTCAAGTGGAAGATTTGGAAAAATTGAAAAAAAACGTGTGTCCGTCACAGTCACGTCTGTCACAATTTGAAAATGGCGCCACGCAAACAAAAATTGAGCAATCTCTAAGAAAATGGCATCTCAGAAATCCCTAAACCTTCTTCTATCATTGTAATTCCAAATTAGATACAATAGATAACTTTTTGAGATAAATTTGGGTACCATCTGAGTAGACACCCAAAAAAAGTGTCATATTTACGTCACGTCCGTCACAGGGGTGCTATCTCAGAAAGTAATAATGGTAGGGGTCTGAAATTTTCACACAACCTGTAGAAAGGTTAAATGTGGACTAATAAACAGTTGGAGCTGATAAATAAACAACATCTCGAGTACAACATTCGTTTGAACTTTAAAAAACAGCAAAATCGTGGTGTCCGTCACGGTGGAATTGCCCCGGTGTCATAAAAGCATTACCCTTTATTTACTAGCCTTTTCGGAGCCTTGTGATCTACAATCCTGATCTGGTGACGTGTCACATGCTACGATGCTATCAGATTATGGGCGTTGCGATAACATTCCTGCAGGATACATGTACACTTATGTATCACATAGCAATAACATAGTGCCGCGACAGTGCCGCCATGACAGTCTAGTGCCACGGGAGTCCCATCGGGATAAGGATGTATGACCCATTTTTTAACTAGAGCGGACTGCTCCATCACTCAAAAGATGTTCAATATTTCTGATTATATGTCCGGATCAGAACATAGTTTATTAGCAGCATTGTTGTAATGATTCTGGGGCCAAATTTTAGTGTTCCCGTTTGTTGCGACAAGGAAAGGAAACGAAGAACATCTCTTTAGAACGTAGAACATATCCTTATTCAGAAAAGAGCCTTTTCCTTTTCGCAACAAACTGGAACACTACAAATAGAAACATTTCTGGAACTAAACTCTCGAAACTGATGTCAATTATATAAATACTTCGTCAAAAGTGCTGGGTTAATTAGACTAAATTTGGTATGAGTATATTTATTTTAAATGCTCGCCGTACTTGATACTATCCTTTACATTGTACAAATTGAAAAATTCTGTTCTTCAGCTTAATAAGTTGAAATAGAAAGGCCGGCCCCCAGTAGAATTCTGTAGGACAAGGTGTTTTATGTCAAGGTGTGCAAACTTTTGTATTTAGTTCCCGTGTATTTTATTGCCTGAAAGTGCTGAAACTTGTAGGGGTTCTTAGAGATTAATTGAAAATTGTGTGCGAAGTTTGAAGCCTTTCCTCCTAAAGATGGCTAGTTACACCAGTTTTCACCGAAAATAGGACTGTGAACTGTTTGGCGGCCCTAAATAAATCCTTTATCCGTGATAAAAGTACCACTTGAAAGTCAATAATTAAGTTGGAACAGAACAAATGTGGAGATGTTTACAGTATATCTCTTAAATTGTATAAAATCATAGCTCTTTAAATCTGCATCATCTGTTCAATTTCCAGAAAACACCCTTGTGTGTACTGTGGCTGGTAGGAACCTTTCAACTTGAGCCTTCATTGGACAAGAAAGCTCAAATTTTTTAGACAGAATGTCTCGTTTGTAAATTGTAGTTTATAAATATACTTTGATAATTTTATGCAAAATGATGATGAGTAAGTAAATAATGAGCCGACAAACTCTTATCTGTTCATCTTATCTGTTCATCTTATTAAGGAACTCTCTGTAAAATATACCGAGCAAATTGTAATGTTTGAATAAAAACAAAAGTCAAAACTTAATGGGACAGTCAAGTAACCGTTTGGAATCAATACCTAGCCTCACGTTTAACATTGAGTATTTTAATCGCACCCGACTAAATGTGCATGTGTAATATCATATCATCAAGTTGACGCTGACCGGGTGGATATAATGAATCATCGGCGCCACCTTAACCAAAGTTAATCCGTTACAAACAAACATATAATAACTTTATAACAAAGGCTGTAACATGTTGGAGTCGAGCCAAGAAACTGGACAATAACTTGCCAGTAACAAGGCAATAACATATGCTGCTGTCGACAGTAGTTCATACATTGTTGACAGTAGTTCATACATAAACTTGACACTCGTACACTCTACTCTAAATAGTGTTGCGTAATAGGTGAAATTAGAATCGAGGAACTATTTAAAGGTGATTACTGTGCTGTAATGCTCGAACTGTAGTAGGAACTATTTAAAGTAGTTCGGAGTTGGGGCATCGATGGTTTGGGGTAACACGACATCTTTCACCCATAAACTATTGTCTGAATAACCAATTTTCTGAGTCGGGCAGATGTCGTTGTCGGGCAGATGTCGTTGTCGGACAGATGTCGTTGTCCGACAGATGTCGTTGTCGAACAGATGTCGTTGTCGGACAGATGTCGCCCAATCATGGTTTGGATAATTCAGTACGTCATGATCAATAAATTTATTGTATCGCTGCAAGAAATACATTGTATAACTATACAACATTACTATAACTATACAACTATAAGAAGCGATATATATATAATATACTAGAAAGGCGAAAGCCCGTGGTCACAGGGAGGAAGCTAATAGTATTCTTTGGTAGTCTGAGTCAGTTTTTATCGCATCAAAAAACTATGCGAGTATACAGCCCATTAAAATGTAGCTCTCACTCATCACTGAACACAACGTAATTACCACAAAACCGATCAAAATGTCGTAACAACAATTACTGCACGTGCACGTGCGTGTAACAATCCTCGTCACCATGGTTACTATGCAGCTTCCTACTTTTCATCAAATTTGCACGTGGGCGGTCGTAGTTCGTACATACATACATACAAAAATAATTCTTTGAATTATAAGTATATACTAGAAAACCCGTGGTCATAGGGAGGAAGCTAATAATATCTTTGTTAGTAAGTTTAGATCGCGTCAAAAAATATCCTACACAACCGAAGATACAGTTAATTAAAATGTTGCTCGTACTAAACACAGCGTTATATCAACGAAACCTATCAAAATGACGTTAAAACAATCATTGCACGTGCACGTGCGTGTAACAATCCTCGTTACCATGGTAACTACGCAACTTCCTATTTCTCGCCTTATTTGCACGTGGGTGGTCGTACAGTGTACGTACAGAAATAATTCTCTGAATTATAGTAGAGACTAGAAAGCCCGTGGTAACAGGGACGAAGCTAGTAGTATTCTTGGAAAGAAAGTTTTAATCGCATCAAAAAATATCCATCCCAACCGAAGATACAGCCGATTTAAATATAAAACACTTTAAACACAACGTAATTACCACAAAACCGATCAAAATGACGTTAAAACAATCTTTGCACGTGCATGTGTGCATTAAAACACCGTTGCTATGGAACCTTTTGGTTGTTACCTAAATTCCTATTTTTCATCTAATTTGCACGTGGGCGGTCGTACAAAGATTGTACAAAAATAATTCTCTGAATTATAGTAGAGACTAGAAAACCCGTGGTCACAGGGAGGAAGCTAATAGTATTTTTTGTTAGTAAGTTTAAATCGCGTCAAAAAATATCCTACACAACCGAAGATACAGCCGATTAAAATGTTGCTCGTACTAAACACATTGTAATATCAACAAAACCGACCAAAATGACGTTAAAACAATCATTGCACGTGCAAGTGCGTGTAACAACCCTCGTTACCAGGGTAACTATGCAACATACTATTTCTCGTCTGATTTGCACGTGGGCGGTCGTACAACAAAAACAATTCTCTGAATTATAGTAGAGATATGTATTATATATCACTTAATTAACTATATTGATATGTAGATTCATTTTCATATGCATAAGGTACATTACCTAGTATGTATATTGTATAACTATAATCAAAATCAGGACACAATATCAATCGTAAAATCATGTGAAATTATTTCATCATATTTTACAGTTCCGTTATCATGGAACATGAAATGATGAGATGCTGCCCAACACTTTAGCAATACAAGTGTATAGTTAAAGTCGGATTTGTTAAAACTATTGTGAGTGCAGTTGACATGTAACATTCATTCATCTCGTGTACATATTGTAATCATGAAAACGTAACAGCAATTATCATGAGGTGAATTAAAATAAGTGATCAATTACCATGTGATTATCAGGTGATTATCATGTGACACGAAAATCAAACTTACCTTCAATAAGACAACAATTTGTTGGTATTAATTAATTATTATGCGAGATTTTAAGTTTTAAAACATACATTCTAATTTCAAACAAATTAACGATTGACTAAAAATCTAATCAATAAATAATCTGGTTAATTGATCATCTTCAATTCATAGTGGTCCGTTTCAAAGCTGTCCTAAATCAAAAATTAAATTACCCCCATTTCTTATTTAGTTATTTATCTACATATTTTGGGTACGGAAAGTCAATGTACTCTCGAATCTCAATGACAACTTTAAATCAGACCACTACAATTAACGATCAATTACTGTCCAATTAAGAATCAATTACCTTCTATGCCAATTAGTGGTAGGGCTGGCGATGTCCTCCCCGTTAAATTTACATTTCCACTTGTCATGGACTTTGTTCTGTGTGAATCCAGGGCTTGATATTTTTATTGTAAACTCCATATTCTGGGAGGGATCAAACACGTGTAATTTTACGATTAATTACATATCATTTAACTAATTGATTAATTAGTAATTAATGAGGTTTAACATTAAGAAATTACCTTTTTACTGATTTTATTAATTGTGATCACATTGACTGATACACTACCCCTGATAACAGATATTTGACTAATCTTCAAAAATTAAATATACATAAATCTGAATTTTGTTGATTAAACTAAACAAAAATATAATTGTTTTGACACATAACATGTTTTGATGAATTTAAAACATTATAATCATCAACAAGACTAAGTTGAGAATTTATAAAAAAACATAAAATCCAACACACAAATCTCCACATAAAATACCTGTTTAGAGCCGTAGGACGCCACAATAACACGTGACATCTTCTTGGCCAGTACACCACGTGGTAGGCCGATAAAGGGCGCTTCTTTCATCACGAACTCAAACCTTAGTCCCTGCCTGAAGTTGATGTGAAATTAATAATACCCTGGCAGTATGATTGCATATCATTGATTTGCATATATTAACTTAGCCTGACGATTGAAATGAAATGTAAAACAATACTTATACAATAATTCACACCAATAAAGGTAAAGAATGTCGATAGAGCACCGAGATTCAAGAGACGTATGCGTTTCTCAGGTCAAACAAAACGTTGTTAGTTGCAGTTATGGCGAAGGAAATTGCCAAAAATAACAATACTTCTCAGTTTGAAGGATATCGAGTCACGAGATAATCACATACTCAGTCATCTGACACACCAGCTTTTTTAACGACACTTTAATAGTCTCACTTGAATGACATAAATGTACATTTAACTGTTGAAGCGTGTAATATAAACATTAGAATTAATTTATTAAATTAATTAATTAAATTAATTAATAATCGCAACGTATACTCACATTAGAAGGTCGTTAGGAAAATAAGCATTACAGTAATAATACTCCTTCATGTTGCTGCTTTTAAATCCTTCAATCTCTGCAATACAAATACCGCTGGTAGCTTCGTAATCTGAGGGAGATGTAAATTAGTTATATTTACTTAGTTACTGTAGTTAGGGAGTTATTATTAGTTATATTTACTTAGTTACTGTAGTTAGGGAGTTATTATTAGTTATATTTACTTAGTTACAGTTGTTAGGGAGTTATTATTAGTTATATTTACTTAGTTACAGTTGTTAGGGAGTTATTATTAGTTATATTTACTTAGTTACTGTAGTTAGGGAGTTATTATTAGTTATATTTACTTAGTTACTGTAGTTAGGGAGTTATTATTAGTTATATTTACTTAGTTACAGTTGTTAGGGAGTTATTATTAGTTATATTTACTTAGTTACTGTAGTTAGGGAGTTATTATTAGTTATATTTACTTAGTTACAGTTGTTAGGGAGTTATTATTAGTTATATTTACTTAGTTACAGTTGTTAGGGAGTTATTATTAGTTATATTTATTAGTTACTGTAGTTAGGGAGTTATTATTAGTTATATTTACTTAGTTACAGTTGTTAGGGAGTTATTATTAGTTATATTTACTTAGTTACAGTTGTTAGGGAGTTATTATTAGTTATATTTACTTAGTTACTGTAGTTAGGGAGTTATTATTAGTTATATTTACTTAGTTACAGTTGTTAGGGAGTTATTATTAGTTATATTTACTTAGTTACTGTAGTTAGGGAGTTATTATTAGTTATATTTACTTAGTTACTGTAGTTAGGGAGTTATTATTAGTTATATTTACTTAGTTACAGTTGTTAGGGAGTTATTATTAGTTATATTTACTTAGTTACAGTTGTTAGGGAGTTATTATTAGTTATATTTACTTAGTTACTGTAGTTAGGGAGTTATTATTAGTTATATTTACTTAGTTACAGTTGTTAGGGAGTTATTATTAGTTATATTTACTTAGTTACTGTAGTTAGGGAGTTATTATTAGTTATATTTACTTAGTTACAGTTGTTAGGGAGTTATTATTAGTTATATTTACTTAGTTACAGTTGTTAGGGAGTTATTATTAGTTATATTTACTTAGTTACTGTAGTTAGGGAGTTATTATTAGTTATATTTACTTAGTTACAGTTGTTAGGGAGTTATTATTAGTTATATTTACTTAGTTACTGTAGTTAGGGAGTTATTATTAGTTATATTTACTTAGTTACTGTAGTTAGGGAGTTATTATTAGTTATATTTACTTAGTTACAGTTGTTAGGGAGTTATTATTAGTTATATTTACTTAGTTACTGTAGTTAGGGAGTTATTATTAGTTATATTTACTTAGTTACAGTAGTTAGGGAGTTATTATTAGTTATATTTACTTAGTTACAGTTGTTAGGGAGTTATTATTAGTTATATTTACTTAGTTACAGTAGTTAGGGAGTTATTATTAGTTAAATTTACTTAGTTACAGTTGTTAGGGAGTTATTATTAGTTATATTTACTTAGTTACTGTAGTTAGGGAGTTATTATTAGTTATATTTACTTAGTTACTGTAGTTAGGGAGTTATTATTAGTTATATTTATTAGTTACTGTAGTTAGGGAGTTATTATTAGTTATATTTACTTAGTTACTGTAGTTAGGGAGTTATTATTAGTTATATTTACTTAGTTACAGTTGTTAGGGAGTTATTATTAGTTATATTTACTTAGTTACAGTTGTTAGGGAGTTATTATTAGTTATATTTACTTAGTTACTGTAGTTAGGGAGTTATTATTAGTTATATTTACTTAGTTACAGTTGTTAGGGAGTTATTATTAGTTATATTTACTTAGTTACAGTAGTTAGGGAGTTATTATTAGTTATATTTACTTAGTTACTGTAGTTAGGGAGTTATTATTAGTTATATTTACTTAGTTACAGTTGTTAGGGAGTTATTATTAGTTATATTTACTTAGTTACTGTAGTTAGGGAGTTATTATTAGTTATATTTACTTAGTTACAGTTGTTAGGGAGTTATTATTAGTTATATTTACTTAGTTACAGTTGTTAGGGAGTTATTATTAGTTATATTTACTTAGTTACAGTTGTTAGGGAGTTATTATTATTTATATTTACTTAGTTACTGTATTTAGGGAGTTATTATTAGTTATATTTACTTAGTTACAGTTGTTAGGGAGTTATTATTAGTTATATTTACTTAGTTACAGTTGTTAGGGAGTTATTATTAGTTATATTTACTTAGTTACAGTTGTTAGGGAGTTATTATTAGTTATATTTACTTAGTTACAGTTGTTAGGGAGTTATTATTAGTTATATTTACTTAGTTACTGTAGTTAGGGAGTTATTATTAGTTATATTTACTTAGTTACAGTTGTTAGGGAGTTATTATTAGTTATATTTACTTAGTTACAGTTGTTAGGGAGTTATTATTAGTTATATTTACTTAGTTACAGTTGTTAGGGAGTTATTATTAGTTATATTTACTTAGTTACTGTAGTTAGGGAGTTATTATTAGTTATATTTACTTAGTTACAGTTGTTAGGGAGTTATTATTAGTTATATTTACTTAGTTACTGTAGTTAGGGAGTTATTATTAGTTATATTTACTTAGTTACTGTAGTTAGGGAGTTATTATTAGTTATATTTACTTAGTTACAGTTGTTAGGGAGTTATTATTAGTTATATTTACTTAGTTACTGTAGTTAGGGAGTTATTATTAGTTATATTTACTTAGTTACAGTTGTTAGGGAGTTATTATTAGTTATATTTACTTAGTTACTGTAGTTAGGGAGTTATTATTAGTTATATTTACTTAGTTACAGTTGTTAGGGAGTTATTATTAGTTATATTTATTAGTTACTGTAGTTAGGGAGTTATTATTATTTATATTTACTTAGTTACAGTTGTTAGGGAGTTATTATTAGTTATATTTACTTAGTTACAGTTGTTAGGGAGTTAATGAGTTCAGTTACCCGATATACCTGAGCATACTTAATATACTGAGCGTACTTAATGAATACCCAGCATACCTATTACATGATATTATATTATATATTATTATACCTATATTATGATACATTGTACCCAGCGTGCGCGTACTTGGTATGTTGTACTATACCGAGGATTCTGCATTTATTTATTAAATAATCTGCAAGAGCAAATTGTTGTTGCACTGTAAACCTCAAAACGCCCAGTAAATCGTAGTTCATTATTTGAAATAAAAACCAGTTGGAACTGTACGCGTTGTAAGTTGACATGTGTCTTCATTTGAAAAATAATTCGCACATTGCACATTTCTGATTCAGTGGCTGAAAATAGTCCCGGCACTCCGACACTCTATTCTATATTACAAATCCAATCTATCATACTGTCAGGAGTCCGGACCTCTAAAGTCTTGGTAAATAAAATAGACCGATAGTTCAACTACCGGTCCACGCACGTGACCCTCCCACGTGATCTGGGTAATTTCACCCGGTTTACCATTACCACTGCAGTCAGCAGTGCACGTGTTACAATGAATTACGTGTATTAAGTTAAGTTTAATCTAAAGAGCTCTTTAAAATCTCGTCAATCTGGAGCTTCATTAATTACAGTACTTCATTTAATAGTACATGTCTCGTGCAATTTAAACTGTACCTTAACTATCGTTTATATTTTGTATTATATTTTATGAGCGTTCGATTTTAAGAATTCACTTACAATTCTCAAGCTAGACTAAGACACCTATTTTAACACTAAAACTATGACAGAATCACGGCTCGTGTCATTGATAGGAGACCATCTTTATTAAAACGCAACGTTTTAAATGAAGGTTCAAAGAGATCAACCTTCTAAACCTGCACCCTCACATAACACAGTTTAGAGCTTCAGGGACCTGCCCGTCTGGTAATCTCAAGGAAAGTAAAGGAGTGCAGCACTCCCTCTAGTGCAGCACTCCCTTCCCCAGTTAAGTAGGTGTTTAGTAACGCGGACATGATTCATGGAACGTGAGCTGTATTTAACTATATAACTATAATAGTTAAATAAGTGGAGTGGGGATAACCATTCTTTAATACGTAGAGTGGATATGGGACTGATTAAACTTTGCATTATATCATATTATAGTCTAGTGTTTGGCAAATCATATATATTTAAATTTATTTAACGTTTTATAATTTAAATGAATCGTTCAGACTCCACCTATCTCTCAAGATTCACTTAGTTTATTTAATTATTATTAGTTTATTTAATTACCAGTAAAAACTAAATTTCATCCAGCAAAAAGGACTATAACTCAAGAGAGTTCTCACTCAATAACTATATGCTTTCAGCCTGCAGCCTGCTTAACCCCCTGACCATCACCACCGCAGCACACAGTAACACCCTGACTCGCTGGGCTCTGTATTTAATGCTACAATGTACATAATAATACGCTTTATCTTGAAACTCACTGTATAAATGTACGGGTCTACATTTACGATACAAAATACCATACAATGGAGATAGTGTTATCTTTATTCTTTAATCAATGGCAATGGGGAATAATAATGCAAATCGTAATCTATACTAATAATCTCAAGATGCGTGTTTGTGTGTGTGTTCGCGTGCGATTTCCGAGCGGCTTAATTAGGAAAACGGATACATGAGGAGCACTCAGAATTAAATTGCGGTCACGTCTGTTTGGAATGATGACAATGTGGGAGAGGTTTGCCAATCTTAATGGATGGGATTTTTAATTTATCCAATTCATCTAATTGTACTCTTAAGTATTCGTAACAATAAACATTTGAGTACGATATCCGGGAATAGTATATATATATTTTAGTGCATAGTACAATATTTTGTTACACGCAACTGACTATGTGGACAATTACAGGAGAGACCGCTTGCTTGCGGCCTTGTTGGTTAGTTGGCATGTTGCCAAGACATGAACTACAATATGTTATGTAATGGGTTGTGGTTGGGTGTGTGTGTGGGTCGCTCACTTTACTATTCAAACAGAAAGTCTACAAACTTGAGGTCTCCAATGTTTGAGGGGGCCGGGGGGGGGTCTTCATCAAAATTCTCCCGAAATTAACTTTATAGTTGTTTCTGATAGAGGGGAGTGATATCTATCACTATCAGCTGCTTCAATCGCGTGCCCTGAAAATTGAGTCTAAAAATCTATCTTCTCCTACATTTTTAAAGCAATCACCTTGAAACTTTCAACATAATATGTTATAAGGACCATTTAGAAGAGATTTTTGGTCCAGAATTTTGATAGGTCTTAGAAAATTCGTTTTTGAAAATCTTGGACCTGGAAAAATCGTCAAAAAGTGAGGTCCAAGATTTTAAAAATCGAATATTAACATTTTTAGGCCAATCTCTTTTAAATGGTCCTTAGAACATATCCTAAGAGTTTCATGGTGATCGCTCAAAAAATGTAGGAGAAGACAGATTTTTAGACTCAATTTTCAGGGCACGCTATACAATTACAAATAAGCGCTGACCTTAGACCGGCGATAACTTCGGCTAAGAACAATATTTTTCCATTATAGGACCAAAAGCAGCTGATAGATATCACTCCCCTCTATCAGAAACAACTATAAAGTCAATTTCGAGAGAATTTTGATGAAGACCCCCGGCCCCCTGAAGTCACATTGTGTTACAGATCAAGTCTGTTTCTGGGGAAATTGTTCTTAAACAAAATGTATAACTTGAATTATCTGTTCAATTACTAAACAACGTGAGCTCAACACTCAACAGCTTAATATTTTGGAATCAAGTGTTCAACTCTGAAACTCTCCAAGGTGCTGCTTCAGAAGCTACCAAGTAGACTCTCCTGCAGGCTCATTGTATCACTGGTCAGTGATCCTTTACTTTAAGTTTGACGCTACAATTCTCATTAAACTGTGTACGTGTCCAATTCACCGTTGACCTAGATTTACCGGAATTTTCTTTCTAGGAATTCGATTCAATCAACCTCCAAATGTGTCTCTACTTCTACATTATGAGGGCCGCGAATAAACGTACCTTCAAGAACGTGAAAGTTGCCAATGTCGTACTCGTTCCACCTCACACTTCCGATACGGAAGTAGTCCTGAAATTGTACACTGTCAAATGGTAAAAAACAAACAAAAACAACATGGAACATGAGAAGCAGTCCTGAAATTGTAAAATTACACTTTTAAATTATTGGTATAGAAAAAACAAAAAACAAAAACAATTTGGAGATACATGGATATAATAATGAGATCTTGACCTTGGCCCTTTATTCTTTAATAAAATTTGGGAGCTCCCAGTAAATAAAATAATTACTTCCCTCCATGATTTTAAAAGCTGATTAGAAAGCAACTCTAACTTATCACAAATACAAAGGAAGGCCTTTTTCCAATTTTCAATTCGATCAGATTATTTACCACGCACAAAAATTTGCCTTAAATCCCAGGACCAGTAGGTACCAGCTGCTTACTCTTCTCTATCTGATCTTTTCAAATTATATTGCTTCCAACTTGAACTACCACCTTATTTATAATAACATTTCAGACGGGCCTCTAATTTAAAGTAATATGGGCCAGACTTGTGCCAGCTTTTACTGTAGCATGTAAAATCCGGATTGGAATATTGTTATATAACTTAGTGTTGAAAGCAGTTGAAAGTATTAAAACGTAGCATGATATATTACAAAAAAACTGAAGAAACCTTACCCCGTCATCATTTTGCATGCGCTCGTAGTCGAAAAAGGCTTCCATAGTAGCCGTACTATTGATTGAGGTGTACTGGCTAAAACTATAAATGTGGCTGGCTTTGGTTTTGAGACCCGAGCAGAACCTAGAGGCGGCTCCGTCAGTGAAATAGTTACCTTCAGTGTCCCTGGGGGGTGGGGTGTTAGAGGGGACAGTGGTAGTAGTCAGTCAAGTTCTGATTGGGTCACGTGATTTAAATACTGTGGTGTTATTGGAGCAATGTTACCATGGTTAGTGGTTACCATGGTTACGCTGTAGTCAGTCAAGTGGATACAATAGTGTCTTCTGATTGGGTCACGTGATTTAAATACTGTGGTGTTATTGGAGCAATGTTACCATGGTTACCATGATTACGCTGTAGTCAGTCAAGTGGATACAATAGTGGCTACTGGAGTCTGTGTAGTCATTGTAGTTTGTAAAGTCAAAAATATGTATTTCATGTAACAATAGTCACACTACAATGGTCATCGAACCGTTCCTACTATTTATAGTTATAGTGGAAACATAAATAACTCCTTTTGTATATTTTATAAAATATACAAAAGGAGTTATATTAACGATGTAACAGAGTCGATATATTTTAATGTTGCCATGGGGTGGCAAGTCCCCATACATGGTGGTCCGGTAGTTTCATTGCGTCTTAATATACTCCTTCATAATATATGTTCCAACTTTTCGTGTGGATAATTGTACATTCATATTCCCGTTTCTCGTTATGAATCCTCGTTATGTGTATCATGATTATAATAGTGTAACTGCATTTAATGTTAGCTGCTCAGTCGGTATAATGGAATCATAAGTCTGGCCAAAACATTACCATCAATGATTAGTAATGTGGTCACATAGTTCAAGTAACATATAAAAGTTATTACTTTACCACTGTAACAGTAAGGAGGTTTAATTAATGTCTATATTGGAGGCAGTCTCGAGACTGGTATGTTAACAATTCAGCCGCATGGCGCAATGTCCTTACTGGCGACGAAACTTTTAGTGTTGTTAAAAGTGTCAGTAACTTGTTGCTGGCACGAGGCTAATAGTCGGTTATTCCTGGTTATAAGACGTCAGTAGTGGTCATTGAAAGGACTTTGTAGATAATTTTAGGTCATAAATGGTCATACGACGTCATCAAATGTCATTAATAATCAAATTATGACGTCGTTCGTGGTCATTCGAGGTCAATAGTCGTTATGTATTTGTGAGCTAATTCGTAGTGACTTGACTGGCTACTTTTACCTAAACACTACGATAAATTACAGCAAATTTAGATGCTGTTAATCGAATGCTGTTCATGGTATCGTATAATTCACTGTCAAAATCTACTTAAAATGGACTTGTCGAATAGAACATCAGAATTTACTTGATCCTCGATAATAATATGTACATTGTAAGATAGAATAAATAGTTCGTCGAGCAGTAATTTCAAAGTTTCAAGAATAAATTTCAAACTTACGGGTACATTTAAATGCTGAAGAAGGTACATATTAAGATATTGTATAGAATTTTACAATTCTTCAGTCAGCACAAGAGACAGGTATAATAATGAGACAACGTTTCAGCGTTAGATTTAGTTCGTCAGTTAACGAATCGAGATGTTTCTCGTAATTTTCAGTGTGATAAAGATGTACAAATATACAGTGATTCATCTATTATTATAGTAAAACCTCAATTTTCCGGTGGCAGGTTTGATGGAATTTTCTAAATTAACGATATCAGCAGCTAGTTAAAATAAAGGGTAATACGTGGTCTTATCTTTATCTATAATTTATTCATACGATTGAGTCCTTATCTACTTTTGTAAATCAGATTAGAGGTTAGGTGAGCCATGCACGACATATCAGCTTGTTCATGAGTGTGCTCTTCGTTTAATCAAGTCATACAGATGGCGGTACAATTTTATCAATTATCAGACGGTTTTTATCTTATATGTCGTAGGTTGGTATGTACCTCTAATCGTCAATGACAGATAGCTAAAACATCTCCAGTGGCTCATAAAGTATGCAAATAGTTTGCATACTTGCATACTATTCAGCACATGCATAGCCGGTTGTGAAGTGTGAACTGTGTAGGTAGTAGGTACAGGTAAAAAGTAAGGTTTTCTGTTGCAGCAAAAAGGTTTTTCATTGCAACGTCCTGAGTTAAAATCCACTATAATATTAATCGCCACATGAAATAGGTTTATTAAAGAAATATCAAGAGATAGGGTTTCGGTTAAGTTAAATGGAAGTTTTATGACACAGTTGAGGTTACAAGTCGCAAATGTTTTACTTGCAAAGTAAGCGCGAGCGGGTACTTTTATTTTTAAAAAAGGTTAATTATTGAAACTTTAAAGATATTATACATGTAGAAGAATTTTCATGCAAACAGCAAAAGAACAGCGAATCGACATGAATCAAATACTACACAGATGTAACTCGTATACCTGTGTCTAGTGTATACTCGTGTAAATCAAAGGGAAGGGTAGAAGGTTGTAGCAGAACAATCAATAATAATTATCAGCAAAAATATTTGTGTTTTCTTTGGTAAATTTCTATTGATCCCGTTTGATGCAATAGTTTTAATACTTTCGACACTACTATTATATTATATTATATATATAGTAGTGTCGAAAGTATTAAAACTTTCGCATCAAACGGGATCGATAGAAATTTACCAAACAAAACATTGCAACTATGCGACTCATAAATAATATAATATGATTATGTAATGGAATATAATATTCCAATTCGGATTTTTAAAAAAATATTTGTATTAGTCAGCTTTTTATTGGATACATCATATCCACGTCGTAAGTCGTAAATAATCTATTAAATCTTAGTTAGATAGAGTAGTTAACGGTATTTTACTAGACTTAGTGCATTTTCAGGATTACTTCAAGTCTCAGGCTATCTTATGACGAAAGTGCACGTAAGAGTAAATAAAATATGACGTTTTCAGGCAGAAAGAGCTACTGGTACCCAATCTTAATTATGATATACACAGTTTACAATAAGAGTCATTCGACTTAAATTTTCCGAGACATTAGGATTATTGTTTATCACACAACCACACTCTTTGGTTTTAATACTGAATATATCATTACCAGAATTAGAACGAAAACAAGGTAAAATTACAAAGTTATACGGTTTCTAATTATTGGTTTATGATACTATAAACCATTGGTTAGATACTGCGAATAGCAGATGGAACATTGATCCCTCGTGACAGGGTGAGTGAACATAAAAACAAGAGTTGACAACATTTCGAATAGAAGTACAAAAACAGCGAAAATAATAAAACATTATACACATGTAATACATACAGTCAGCAGGATTTTTTAGTATAGAATAATTTTAGTACATAGTATAGTATAATTTTAGCATTAGTAAGTACACAATACACATATTTACTCAGCGGGATTTTAGTATAATCTAGTATAAACCAAGTACAATAAATCCGCAACAGTATAAGAAGAACATATATAAGCGCAGCACGATATCCGCGGGACACAAGACAGCAAGGCAAGAGCTAGAACTCGAGAAACTCGTATAGTTACTATAGAAACTACTATAGTAACTATGGAAACTGATATAGTTACACAATGCTTCTTCAGCTGACTCCTACCACAATGCATCCGGATACCATGGAGCTGTTATCAACAAATGGGTCGGAAGGATAGCTTGAAATTTTTGTTGAAGCCTAGAGAGGGGAAAAAAGAATAGCACATTCCACAATTTTACCAGAATGTGGTGTGATTGTTAAGTGTGATGAGGTGTGATTGTGGGTTGCGGTATGACTGGTAATTTGGGTGTGGTGTGATTGATTACGTGGTTGTGGGTGTGTAGTGATTTTGATTGCACGATGTTTGGTTGAGCAGTAGCGGTGAAGATGTTGGGAGTGCCAGCAGAAAGTATCTCTGTCAGGTGAGGATTCCACTGAGGAGCTGTGGGAACCGGACACGTGGGCAGAAGACACAAGAGTGGAAGACAAAAGTTCGGTAAATTCCCAAAAGAGTGGGCTCGAAGGCGGACCACGTGATACTTACTTTAGCTTAGACACGGGGGTGGGACCAGACGTTTTCCTAAATGATAAACTAGTAATAAATTTGTAACATCACGAAATGTCTTTGAACTTTTGTTTATAAGCGTTGAAATCTTCTTTTATATTATATACAGGGTGGGCCAAACGTTACTGGACATACCTTGGCATTGATAGCTCAGTCACTGAGTGACCAATTGAAATAATTCTTTCTAGTACGACTTACTACCACCACTGGTTCGAGGAATTTGTCAAATCGAAAAATATTAGAGTTTATTTTTTTCAAATGAAGGTTCATTTTTGCATTTATTTGATAGTTTGGATAGTCGGATCGAGCTAAATTTTATTAAATTGTGTTTGGCCATTCGAATTACGTTTGTCCTGAAAAGATTAGAGTTGTAGCTTCTCAGATGGCCGAGATAAGAAGCATAACGAGTTTATTCATTACGTGTGATCAGGTGATTGGCTTACCTGATCACGTGAAAAGATCACCCCGTTAACCACCCCGATAAATATTATGGGAAATGGGAATCGTTAAGGCTGCCCAATTAAGGTGTCACAGTGTCACATAATCATTAATCACCCAGTCAATTTTGTTAACGAGATACACAAAATGCTTGATAACTTCGTCATTTCTAATCCGTTTCACGTCATTTTTTCAGATCAGATGCAACATATAATAATCTACCGTCTCTGAAATAATCAGGCGTCCAGCATGTTCAGAGAGATCAATATAGGTGTTTTAATTTTGAATGGGCGTGGTCTAAAATATTCGAATTTTCAAATTTTGACGACGGAATCCTCGAACCAGAAGGTACAGTATGCTATCCGCAAAGCAACAGCTCTCAAATATATAACACGGCGGAGCTATTAAGGCCAACGCATGTCCAGTGACTTTTGGCCCACCCTGTACATTAATTTACATAATATTTAAGTTACATAATATTATATAATAATAATAGTAACTAAAAATGTATACATCGCTTTATAGCCAAAAAGAATTAAAAATCCAAAGATCTAGTTCAAGTCATCTAAAGCAACTCATGAACATGTACATAAGAACTTAGGATTTCATGAAGTATGGTTTTTATAAGAAAAATATTATATGATACTTGTATGAATACTTTTATGAATACATATAATATACATAATATATACATTAACATATAGCCATATTCAATTACATCTGACAAGACTTTACCGGCAAAGCAGGTTTTTGATGTTCTCAATAATTTCTAATCCCTTATTTGACTTTAAAACTATATTTTTATTGATTTTACGAAGAGTGCTATTAAATAGATTACACAGGATTAGGAATTACACAGGATTAAAATTAAATTATAGACCCACTATCGTGAACCGTCATAATTGTACACAATTGGACAAACAAGCCATCCAAGTTGGTTTGAAATCCAAGTTGGTTTGAAATCAGAGCCATGGTTTGCCTTACGTAGGAATAATTCAGCAAATTGATAGTAAGGTTTCGCACATTTGTGAAAGTATTATGTGATCCGCCCTCGGGTCAACCCTTTTAGGAAAGCTCTTGTGTCTACCACCCTTGTTTCTTCTGTCCGTGCGCGGCAAAAAAGTGCGATTATTGTTTGAGTAACAAGTGCGATGATGGTGTGATTATCCTGTATGATGATGTTATGCACAATTAATGAAAACGTCATGACGTGATGAAATGAAAGTTGAGTTGAATACAACATAAAATAAAACAATAAACTAACAATTTCACATCTTCAGAGGGGGCATGCAACAGATCACCCAGATCCTTATTTCATAGCAATGATAAAGAAACTAACTAAAATCTCACAGGCATCTCAATGCAAAGCTAATTACTCATTGTATGACTAATAAGATAATTGATAACGCATGATAAATTGGAGGATTGCTTCATGCTTCATGATCAACAAGGTCATCAAATGCAAATACAAATCACACGATTCATGGAAAACACACATTACAAGGAAATTTTCACATATTATTTCACACTTGCTTGAAGAACAACAAAACAGGAAACTCGTATCTGTGGTAACACTCACCAGCACTGGTTGATTATAGGATTTAGAAAATAATGACTAGGTGACTCGGTTTTCACAGGGACACGCAGTTGGAGATATATTGGGTCCCCGATAACGTCCTCTTCGGAACAGCGTGGTTCGTTTGGGCATCGCCCGCCGCATTCGTTAGATGCGCGGCATCTATACCGTCCTGTGTAGGGTGAGATGATATTGTTGGGAAATATGTATAGTATATTATTATATTATGGTTTTGGAGGGACTTTTATTGGTGTTGAGAAATGATTACCAATCCTATGTATAATTGCGAGTGTGCCCTTGTAAATCATTAACTAATTTAGACCAGAGGATCATTATAACAGTTTGTGTTTATTAATTACAAAATATATTCAGAGACAAAAAATATACTCGTGAGCATTTTTTAACAAATTTTTAATTTTAAATTATCATCAATAATAAACGCTTTTTTGTTGACTATTTTCTCGAGATTAGTACACACCTGTGTCCTTTTTGTTGAAATATTTAATGTAGAGATGTCCGAGAACATGTGACTGGATATAACGCGAACTATCTAGCAGTCCTGAAAGTTAAATACAGATTATTTCGATCAAATACTTAAGGCATATAAATCTGATATAGCAGTAAACGAGTCTTAGATTTTTTAAACCCGACAAACAAAAAATGACAAATGAATGATTAAAAAAAACGATTAAAAAATCCTTAAAATGGTACCTAGGTCGGATAAAGAGTTCCATCTCTGAGTCTCACTGTTGTATTTCTCCCACACAAAGGTTGGTTGTGGTGAACCTAAGATAGTGCACGCTACCACTGCTGTTCTGTTGTACACGAACTCTGTCGGGACTGAAATATTCCGGCTGTTAATAATAATAGTAGATTTAAACTACTGTGTCACTGTTTATATTAGGATTTAGGATACAACGTTTTTTCGACAGTGTTTAATGTAACTATCCCAGAAAGGTAGTAAGTACTACTACTAAGAAAGAACTGGGCAGTAATGCTTGAAAAGATATCGGTAATACTAATGCTTGATATGAAACTAAAGATCTTTAACCAATGACTCAGTCTTATGTCTACAAGTCTGTCTAGGAGCATGTTTAGGATGCTAGAAAAGTAAATCATTACCGGGGGGGGGGGGGGGGGGGGGGGGGGGGGGGGGGGGGGGGGGGGGGGGGGGGGGGGGGGGGGGGGGGGGGGGGGGGTCATGCACTTAGTACTGGACGTGACGTTGGGGTGGTGGGTACTAAGTGGTACTCCATTTTACCTCAAATCTAAATTTTGGGAATGAGTTTTTAGGTTAACAAAATTTAGTACCTGAACTTAGTACCTGATCCCCCCCCCCCCCCCCCCCCCCGAATTTTATTGTAGAATCCACGTACGTAGGAAGACACGTCAATTAATGTTCAGCTCGGCGCCAACCTCGATTTAGTTCGACCTTTTCTCTGGCCAGGAAAATTTCATGGCAGGGATCAGAAGACAGAAACCTAACAGCACGCTGCCTCGTGGATCTGGGACTTTGAGAAAAAAGCGTACAGAGGTCTAATAATGAATGCTTAAAATCGAATAAATCAGTAATGCCATTGTTCCAAGAATTGCGGCTGCTTTACTTATGGGACGATTCAGATAATGGAAGTCTTTAAAGAATTAATCAAAGATTTACTAGCGTAAGTTACACAAAAGGCCCGATCGTAAAACCGTTAATTTTCAAAACATAACCAAATTAAACGTCTGCGTTTTATCTCTTGGACAATTAATTCAAAATTATCCTTGAGAGATTTATAAATTTCCAAATCTACTTCGCCTACCAATTATTAACCAAATTTTGCGAAACTGAAAAATTGTTCTCATCGTATTAAAAAGCATTAAAAAGCATTAAAAAGCATCAAAAAGCAATAGCGAACAACAGAAGTTGATATATCCAAATCTTTCAAACGTCTAGTTTTACTCGAATATTCTACCGGTTTGAAGTTAAATGACTATTGCATTGTTACAGTTTTTTGTTTATACCGCATCAAGTTGGAGGGTGAGACAATGAGTGAGGGGACACACCCTCTAGCAAGTGGTACATTAAAAGGTTGGCAACTTGGTCGTTTAGCTCCGGACAGTCTATTCAACGTCTATGAAACGTCCATGCAACAACAAAAGAACCGTCTATGCAACGTCTATGCAACGTCCCTGCACAATGAACACTCTATGCACACTCCCTGCACGGTCAGTCTATGCAACGTCTATGCAACGTCTATGCAACGTCTATGCAACGTCCCTGCACAGTACCATATGAACACCGGCTACTAGCCGGCTACTAGCCGGCTACTAGCCGGCTAGTAGCCACTTTTGTAATAACAGCTCCTCAACTTCACATTACCAACCGGCTACTAACCGGCACTTGAAAAGTGGTCACTAGCCGGCTACTAACCTGCTACTAACCTGCTAGTAACCACCAAGTGGCTACTAACCGGCTACTAATAGGTCTGCTTTAGAGCCGGCTAGTGACCGGTTAGTAGCCGGTTAGTAGCCACTTGGTGGTTACTAGCCGGTTAGTAGCCGGTTAGTAGCCGGCTAGTGACCGCTTTTCAAGTGCCGGCTAGTGACCGCTTTTCAAGTGCCGGCTAGTAGCCGGTTTAGAACCGGCTACTAATAGGTCTGCTTTAGAGCTCGGCTAATAGCCGGCTAGTGACCGCTTAGTAGCCGGTTAGTAGCCACTTTGTGGTCACTAGCCGGCTAGTAGCCGGTTAGTAGCCGGCTAGTGACCACTTTTCAAGTGCCGGTTAGTAGCCGGTTGTTAATGTGAAGTTGAGGAGCTGTTATTACAAAAGTGGCTACTAGCCGGCTAGTAGCCGGCTAGTAGCCGGTGTTCATATGGTACTGTGCAGGGACGTTGCATAGACGTTGCATAGACGTTGCATAGACTGACCGTGCAGGGAGTGTGCATAGAGTGTTCATTGTGCAGGGACGTTGCATAGACGTTGCATAGACGGTTCTTTTGTTGTTGCACGGACGTTGCATAGACGTTGCATAGACTGTCCGGAGCTAAACGACCAACTTCCCAAAAGGTTTATCTAGACAATAATTAAATTCAACATTTAAATTAATGATAACCATTACATCATGAATTATCTTAGAAGGTTAGTGATATTGTTTGGTATAATTGTTTTAATACAATAAGTGAGATCACGAGATCTGAAGTTTAGTGCCATGCCCTGATTGTAAGTTGCAATAATGATAAATAGTTTTAAGGGCTAGCTACGCCCAGATCTAGGTTGACATCAAATTGCTTCTAGAATAGCTACGCCCAGATGCAGATCTAGGATGACATAATTCATCATTCATCATTGCTTCTACGAGATGACGTACTTTCCAATCTGTAAGTTTGAGCAAGTGTTTGACCAGTGAGCCCCATGAGGCATATCCCTTTTAAATACAACTAATTAGACTTAGAGCTACGTAAAACATAAGCTACCTAGAAGATGGCACGTAGCCAGAAGCGACAATTAAATGCCAAAGATTACACAATCTAATGTCCGCCCCCCCCCCCCCCTCGATCAGAGACTAAACTGACACGGTCCCACGAGGTTAGCAACACATGTGTCTGAGACTTATATTTCACACGCTCTCTGCTCTTACCAGTAGTTCCCTCAGTACAATTTGCAATAGTTTTGCAACATTAGCTGTTATCCTGCGCTTTAGTTTGAAGTTGTTTCATAGTTAGTGTATATTAGTTTTAGTGTTTAAGTTATTGCCATTTAATATGGCAATAGTATGGCAATATGTTTTACCGATCTTCCTTGTAGAATTTTCAGATCTTTAGGATGTTTATTGTTAACTGCTTCAGATTTGTGTAAAGTTCGATAATAATAATAATTCACAGTTAGATTTGGAAGATATGAGGGTTGTTTTAGGGGTGGTGCTGTGTTTGGTAGTTGTTTGTTGTGGTAAGACAAATAAGAAGGTGGAGAGGCTGTGTAATAAGAACCGAGGAACGATGGAAACTAGCTGCGTTCTTAAGGGTAGGTCACACTTAATAAATAATAAGGTTAGAAGATAGGTCACTAAATATTAAGGTTAGAAGATAGGTCACTAAATATTAAGGTTAGAAGATAGGTCACTAAATATTAAGGTTAGAAGATAGGTCACTAAATATTAAGGTTAGAAGATAGGTCACTAAATATTAAGGTTAGAAGATAGGTCACTAAATATTAAGGTTAGAAATTAGAATATAAGTCAGCCACAATAGTCCGGCAAGTCAAAGAAAAGCTATACATAACACAAAAAGCTTTATTGTAAACTAGAAAACCTCATTGTAAATCAGGTTTCATATTATGTACAATTAATGATCGAATGTAAGGAATTTATAGGCTGGTTAAGTGGTTTATGGCTATTATTCTTATTAATGTATCATGAAAACAAATGACATAATACATTCTTGAATAGCATATTACATTATAAAACATAATCAGAGTTAAACTGGATAATCGATGGTCACTGCCCACAGGCCCAACTTTCTATGAAGTTTTAACAAATTCCCTCAAGTTGTAATATCCCTTTCGAGCAACTTGCAACTTGGTAAATCGTGTCGTTCTTTGTCGGTATTTAATAACTGTTATACTGTATATTTATTGCGCTGTTTACAAAGATCAGTAAATATCTCCACCTTCAATGTACAATATACAATGTACAACCCTGAAGTTAACCCCTCCCCAACCCAGGTTACCAACCACCATTAGAAATATCCTGCCACTTCAACCTGCAAACGCCAACCTAAGGGCAAGAAACAGTACAAAAAGAAGAAATGCTCAGCAGCAGCTGACTATATCCTGAAGAACTGTCCGGAGCTGCAGTGTGGCACTACCACTACCACTCCCACTCCCACAACATATCCTTGTATGGGAGGGGGCGGGTGGGGGACCTCCTCCTCACCCTCAGGGTCCGGCCCGTGTGATTATAGCATTCCTACTACCCCGGAGGGAGGGTACTGGGAGGAGTAAACTACTAGTTTGGGAGGAGTAAACTACACGTTTGGTAGAGTCGGATTTTAAACCTGTTGATTAAGTTATAATAATAATAATAATAATAAGTAGGAATTTATACATCGCTTTATAGCCATAAAGAACTCAAAACCCAAAGATTCAGTTCAAACCATCTAAAGCGACTCATGAGTAACATGTACATAAGAACTTATTTGTATGAAGTATGGATTTTATGAGAAAGGTAATACATGATACTTATACAAATACGTTTTCAAAGAGATGAGTTTTTAGTTTCTTTTTAAATAAGACGATATCGGTTAGTGTTCTCAATTGATAAGGAAGCTTATTCCAAACAGAGGGTCCGCAGTAGCTGAAACTTCTCTCGGTTTTACTATAGTTTGAAATAGGAGGAACATTTAGGAGGAAATAGTCTTCTTCAGTTCTTAGTACACGTACAGGTTGACTTTTGATGTCAATACATTTGATGATATACTCCGGCGCTATGTTGTTAACGCATTTGAACACGGTTAGAGCAATCTTATACTCTATTCGTTGTCGTATCGGAAGAAAATGGGCTTTTTTCAGGAATGGAGTGACACTGTCCCATTTTTTGATAGCTTTCCAACCAAACAAGAATCGAACACAGGAATTTTGTACCTTCTGGAGTTTCTTTATTAGAAGATCAGGTAAACCGTATAAGAGTCCATTGCAGTAGTCTAGTTTTGAAAAGATCAAGCAGTGAATGAGCTGTCTTTTTAGATCATAGTTAAGCTTTGAGCCTATAACTCGAAGGTTTCTCAGATGGATGTTGCAGCAACTGATAATTGAATTTATTTGGTCTTCAAATGTTAGGAATTGATCAAATAGGACACCTAAACTTTTCACTGTGCGGGATGCATCCACAGGGTCAGTTGCATTTTCAAGTTGTATTGAATCGACTGGACATGAAGAGTAACTGTTCTTGGTCTGTACTACAAGAGCTTCTGTTTTGTTTTGGTTCAGTTTGAGTTTATTTTGGGTCATCCAGGTCTTAATATCTTCAAAACAATTTGTTATTCTCTCTTCGATTGTTGAGAGATCTCGAAATAGTGGGTTAAACTCAATGTACAGTTGAGTGTCATCTGCGTACATGTGGATGTTAAATCCATGTCTCTTTGCGATCTGATTGAGCTCCTTTGTGTAAAGTATAAACAGAATTGGACCTAGAATTGAACCTTGCGGGACTCCAATTCTAAGGAAGCATCTCTTTGATCTTGATTTATCAATAGTTACTGTGAAGGATCTGTTATTAAGGTATGATGTAAACCATTCGAGAACAGTACCTTCAAAACCAAAGTCCTTTTTTAGTTTTTTTAGGAGCAAGTGATGATTTACAGTATCAAAAGCAGCACTGAGGTCCAAAAGGAGGAGGATAACCTTACTTTTCATGTCACTGATACAAAGAAGATCATTGTAGATGGTAAGGGTCGCAGTTTCGCAGCTATGATTTGACCTATAACCACTTTGATGCTCAGCATGAAGATTGTGATAGTCAAGATGTTTGGTCATCTGTTTCTGGACGCTCTTTTCAATGAGTTTCGAGAGGAAAGGTAAGTTACTAATCGGTCTATAGTTGTTGAAGCTATTGACATCTCCTTTATCATCTTTGATGGCTGGTCTGACAAGAGCACTCTTTAGGACTGACGGAAATTTTCCAGTGACAAGTGAGTCATTGATAATAAATGACACAATTGGTTTAACTTCATTAAAACACTGCATTAGAAGTTTTAGAGGGATGGGATCCTCTTCACATTCTTTTTTGTTAAGGTCAGAAAGAATCTTTTTGAGATCATTGTCGCTTATGGTTTCTACTTAATTTGTTTTAACATTACGAAGTTAACTATTTAAGTTATTACATTTTTAGTAGGCCTGTCTAAGGTATGGGATTTATTTTAAAAATATATTTGTGTCGTGTAAAGTTGGATTTGGATAAAATCAGTCTTCACAATAACGATATATAATTATGTAATGTAATACATAATGATATCGTTGTGTACCGACGGGGAACGTTTGACTTTCAAATAACGTTTATAGAATGACATTTTTGAAATTTAAACTATTATATAATATTATGACTATAATTTATAACAAGATTCCATTACAACTAACAAGGTGAACATTTTATTTCTCCTCTGTAAGTGCGATCTCGACAATTAAAAGGAAGACTTTCAACAGACGATGTATCTTTATCAGTCTGAAATTACAAAAACCAAACTTTATTAGTCTATATATATTTATCATATTAAAACCTTGTTAGTTATACCTTGTTAGTTATACGTAAGTCGTAAAAATAATGGGAGCAGTTAGTAGCAGTTAATGTAGCAGTTAGTTACCTGTTACATGTTCAAGTATAAAATATTTCTACAGAATTCTAAAGAAGCCAAGATAAAAAAAACTTTGAGCCCATAATTTTGTAGCACTTTGACATTAATCTACATTTGTGTGATGTTAATGCCGAATGACGATAGCCGATAGGAGATAATGATTTTATTCTTTTGATCATTCAAAGTAACCCTTCATTGCGTGCGGTGATAAACATTAAACAATTATATACGTTATACGTACCTGTAATTGCTCACTTTTTGTTTTATATAGTCATAACTTTCGTCTGACATAAATATTATTATAATATGGATGATATTAAACAGGAACAACAGTTCCCTCATTGAAAAACTATCGTTATAACAAACAATTGGTTAGCTTATATCTAATCTCTCAAAACTCAGGAAAAAAATTATAAATAATTTATGAACACTAGCTGTGAATTAAGTTTCATTTTTAAAGCTTTAAATTACAAAAAATAAACAGATAAACTGCGTGTTTTAACAATTAAGTTATGAAATTATCAATGATTAAGTTATTTACTTGGTTCAAGAAGATAGTCCTCGATAGTGAATTTGCACAGCCAAGAGGGAATAGCGTGGTACAGCCAAACGTCGTCCACAAAGGAACCGTTAACGTTTATAACCTGAGTTAATGTTAACGTTTATAATCTGAGTTAATGTTAACGTTTATAATCTGAGTTAATGTTAACGTTTATAATCTGAGTTAATGTTAACGTTTATAATCTGAGTTAATGTTAACATTTATAGTCTGAGTTAATGTTAACGTTTATAATCTGAGTTAATGTTAACGTTTATAACCTAAGTTAATGTTAACGTTTATAGTATAGAATAATTGCTCCACATGCACTTCTGATAAAAAGTCACATTCCTAACGTGAGTCAGAGGAGACAAAATTTACAGCAACCATCAAATACCGTGATTTCCGAAGTAATTTCTACCGGTAAAGGTCATGATATAGCGTCGGATGATATCCGATTGTCAGAATCAAATTTCATATCTCGTCTAATTTTTATGGCAACCTGCCCACGGCAAACGTCATTATCAAGTTCGTACTAAAATAATTGATTCTAAGAATTTCGCTGATTCATTAACAATCTCTGCGATGATAAAACGTTTTTAATGAAAATTCTTACCTTGAGGGAGTAAAATCCTGCATCTTCTAGTGCGATGACGTTAGCTCTGTCGTGGCCGACCTCATCACGGAAATTGTGTAAAACCTGAAGAGGGTGCGTGGTTTTAATAAAGTGATAATTATTTACTGAAATGCTAATATTCTTGAAAACATTCATTGATTAAAGTGTAAAAAATAATGTGCGCATATAATAATGATAGGTACTTGTACTACACGTGTAGTGACACGTGACACGGTTCAAACTTTAGTTCAAACCTTTGTGTTAGCATAATCTGAACGGAATGTTATTTGCTGATCGTCTATTCCTGGAGCATAGTAAAACTTTTTCGTGAGGCTGGACACCTGAAGGGAGCGGAGTTCATTTTAATGAGGAATTATTTGAATTCTTTGGAAAATGAACATGATCACAGTTTATAATGTAGTTTATTTACAAGAAAACGTAAAAGATAGACTAAAAAAGGTGCTTAATTAAATTGATAGGTATCATCAAAGGTAGTCAAATATAGACTTACTGAGTTGAGAGATAGCAATAAAAATACTAATGTCAGTGATTTAGGGCCGGGATTGCAAAACATTGTAATGTTACCATTGAACCTTGGGGATAATATGTCGTTATAACAACCTTTATCATATTGTGCATGTGTTTTAACAGTAGATTACTATGTCAGAAAAATTAGATGTTGAAAGAATTATAGCTTAAAAGTATCATATCGAGAGAAATTCAAAATCTCAAAATAATTAGCGTTTACAATTTATATTAATGAGGAGACTGCACTGACATGAATAAAGCACGATGTTAACTTACAAACAATACAATATCAAATTACTATCCATGGCATACCACATCACTACATATGTGTTTCTAAGAAAAAATGGTATTTTTATTCATACAAATAATTCTTAATTAATAACACATTTTGTGCAACAATTGAAAAGTTACCATATCATATAAGTATAGGTTTGTGACCAGCACCTGAAGCTCCACTTGAAGCAAAAACTAACACACCAAAATGCGGTTATAAATTCCTACACAATTATGACCAATTAAAATCGTTTTTTAAAGCAGCTAAATAGAATTTTGACGAATTTGTGAGAAGGTCAAGGTTATCTACCAGTTACCACCAGAAAACGACTGTGTATAGGTGATAGAAGCTGATGTCAATTATCATTGTGTCAAAACATAACTGAGCAATTTACAACATTCCATCGTCCTCTTCCTCGGCTATTTCTTTAGCGTATTCTAGGTCCTGCTGCTCACGCTCACGCTGCTTCTGTGCATCCTCCAGGTTATCGTTGTAAGATTTGGGAGGGAATCTCATTGCCTTGATGCTGTGGTTGTGTATGTCAAGGCAGAAGCGGATGCGTTCGTGGTAAGCTTTCAGAGGTTCGTTGGTTCCATAAACGTTGGCACTGTCATTGCTTTGCATGTAACCCTTTTCGTGATCAATCGTGGCCTCAATCACACCGTCATGGATAGCCTGGGAAAATTGAAATTAAAATCGTATAGTTGCAACCTACACTACCCATCTTATTTAAGCAATACTTGAGAATAATGTCTCGAGAAATTCTACATTTTTGGCACTCTATAGCAAAACTATAGAAAAATCATAAATTCAGACAGTCTCGATAACTATATTTGTTTTTAAAAAATCTAAAAGTAATTTATAAAACATCATCACCTTAGCGATGATGTACTCAGCATCCTCAGGGCTATCTAGCTGCAGTTTATCAGCAACATCAGCCAGACTAATTCTACTGTAACTCAGTGCGACACTCTTGATACCTGAAATAAATTGATTGTAGTAGGGGTTCTAGTTCGCAGTAAACCAATTCAGTTCGCAGTAAACCACTTAGCATCAGTTCGCAGTAAACCACTTATCATTTGTATCTTTTTTAGCTTGTTATCAGCAGTCGTTATCTGCAAGTGTTAAACACCACGCTAACCTGATGAAATTCTGATGAAATTCCTGATGAATTTTCCACACAGTGGAAAAGGATATGCAATCGGAGATTGGAAAGCTCATGAGAGCTGTGAACTGTGGCTCATATTTTATTATTTAAGCTGCTCTACGAGCACATAAGCTAGCTAGTTAGTTTTATATAGTTAAGAGTATTAGTTACAAATTATTTTGAGAATACCCATTTTCGAAAATTCCACTCTAACCAGGAAATGCTCGATTACAAAAATGGGTATTCTCAAATAACTGCCTATGAGGTCATTTGGGTTGGACGGCACAAACCACTGTTTTGGTGTATACCCCCTTAAATATATTAAAAAATTGTAACAAATTTTGGTATTAGGCCAGTTAAATGATCACGAAGAAACAAACTGTATTTGAAAAAAAAAGGAAAATATGAAAGCAGAAAACATACCTGTTTTGATGACATTGTGGCGTAACCTGTTGATCAGAGTCATTGTACCTTCCTTCATGAATTTATCAGAATATTTTTCCAAGACAATGGAGAACTTAGCCAGGTCACCAGCAAGAACAGCTTGAGTTAACTGTAAGTATGGGTGAAGAGACATCATCAGGTGCTGATCCCTGAAGATGTGGCGCTCTGGGACCTCCCCGAGAAGAAGTTGAACCACCACAAGAAGCTTGGTAGCAGCTTGCTTAAATCCAATGGCCGCATTTTGGGGAGCCTTTCTTATGGCTTGGTTGAGATTCTTGAAAGCTTCAGAATAATCCAGCTGGGTTGCCTTGATTTTACCCAGATAGAAAAGGTATCTTGCGCTTTCATTGTTGTTAGCATTTTCAGGGAAGGTGGTTTTGCTTATCAATTTCTCGGCTTGTTCGTACAAGTTATAGTGGATGTAGTTCCGTAATAGGAGATTTAACAGCATAGCTTGTCCCTCGCTGTCATGTCTGAGAGTTGAGGTACGCAGGCGACCATGAAGAAGTGTACGAGCTTCATGAAGCCTTCCTGACATCTCAAAAGCTCGACTGTAGTAGAAGAAACACCTAGCTCCCAGTAAGTGCATGGTGGGTTTATTAACAGACATAACTCGGTTAATCAATGCCTGAGCACAGGGGATGCTGTCATTGATGCGGTTATTGTCCAGCAAACTTATCAGTCCAAGGAGATTGACATATATCTCAGTAAGCACACTCCTAGCATGAGGCTTTTCATCTTTGCTGTCAGAACAAGGAAAGTAACTCAACAGCTTTCCTTTGAACTCATAAGAATCGGAAATGTAAGTTTTAGTGAGCTGATTGAGGACAGCATCGTTCAATCGCTTCCTTGTAGATGCCAGTTGTCTCAAAACTCTTAAAACAAATCGAGGTTCTTTGTTAACAACACTTTTTTCAATGATGCTAATGTGATCTTTGATGTCCTCTATAGTAAGTGCATCTATCTCAGATTGTGGCTTTGGTGCTTCTGCTTCTTTCATCTCCACATCTTCAGATTTAGGTTTTTCAGCCTTTGGTTTCTCGCCTTTAGGTTTCCTCTGTGCTTTTGAGGCCATGACTGCTTGTCTTACTTTTCAATATGCTAGAATATACAAAGTGTTAGATTAGTGCAATTGTTACAAAATACATGACCCAGCTAATAAGATGTTTTCAAGGATAAATATCATGATCATTTTTGAGAATTTTTGAATCTGAGAATTTGACAATTATTGCCGGGAATACTCAAAAATGTCTCAAAAATTATTTTTGAATCTGAGAAATTCAGCATGGTTTTCTCATTTTCTCAAAAATTGTCCACTCAAAAATCATTTTTGAGAATGAGAATTTGGCCATTTTTGTCGAGACTCTCAAAATACTCATGATCCCCCTCCCCCTTTTTTTAGTACTATGGAGATACAAGTATCTTATAAAATTTTAGGAACTTGAAAACGTCTATCACTCATCCCGGTTCATCTCATACTCCCCCCAATTATTCTCACCTAATATCCTTGATGAAACTATAATAATATAAATAATACAAGCTCATATTTTCTGGCTTTAAAAGTAGATGGTATCATATTACTATATACTTAGTAACTTCAACAATTGACAGGCCTTCCCATGAAGTCAACAACTGTAAAAAAAGTTTCCAGAAGATAGATAACATTTATAAACATTGAAGCAAGGGTTATATATTATGTGAAACAATACATTTATGTATGCAACAATGCTGGTCAATAACTAGACTGTAATTATGGAGACAGTGCAGTTCATCGAATGATAGCAACACCAAGGGCCAGTGATGCCTACCCCTTTATAGCATAGGGACAGCATTGTAGCCTATGTTAATAGGGACTACCGGTGGGTGATGAATAATTGAGAATCCAACAGGATCTTGTTCTCTTCATTGTGCTGATTCCGGGAAGCATTTGTTTTACACTCTAATCCTATTAAAAATCGAGATATCGGTCATTGAAAAATGAGTAATTATAGGCCTGTCAATGATTGCAGCCCAATTAAGAGCTGATCAGTTGCAGCTACTTGTGCCATATAAGGGATAACTGAAGTCACGTGACCGCCAATCCTATCACGTGACCTTGATTCGTAAATCCTTGGTCACGTGATCACATTCGTACCGTGTCGAATGCTGACTAGGATATCTCGTGACGTCACCAGAGCTCAAGCTTCCTGACCAGGCCTTATATGGAATAATATAGTGTATCACGTGTAATTGGATCCAATTAAGATGAGCCGCGCAATTATCGCAGCATCTCGATCTGGTATCACCTGTTGAAACCCAGCAGGCAGCTGGGCCAGAGATTTTAAAATAGAAGGATTTTTTGTTGATGAAAATCGAAGCGAAAATCATGTAACCCTATGTTTCCGAGGACGCCGAACACGATAAAACTGGTTATAATTATCATACTCAAGGGCAAATTGCTTTAAAATGCACTTGAATGTCATAGTTGTTATTATAAAAGGGTATTATGTAACTTTAACTCTAGATATAAGGTATAATGTAACGTTAACTCTAGATGTAAGGTATAATGTAACGTTAACTCTAGATATAAGGTATAATGTAACGTTAACTCTAGATGTAAGGTATAATGTAACGTTAACTCTAGATGTAATGTATAATGTAACGTTAACTCCAGATATCTATATTATATTTTAAACTTGACGAAATTTCCCCGGCAACGGGGACATAGAAGAAAAAACACCGAAAATCGACCTCAAAATGACCCTCTGGTGATGCCAAACCCAGCTCGCAAATGGAGTTGAAACCTCGCCATTTTTAGCAGGGTTGTAGAAAAAGGATAGGAATAGGCTATAGCATTCTTAGAATTTTGATTTAGGCTTTAGATTTTTTATAATTAACGTCGGAAGTGAGGTAAAATAACCGTTAGAATAATGTCGTTATTTTAGCAAAGGTTTACTGCGCTGTTGCGTAGCAACGTTAAAATGCACGTGCGCGAGCAACCACAGATTAACAACGCGCGTTGTTATGCTGTATGCTACGTCATAATTTCAAAACTAGCTCACATTTACGCTCACGCTATGACTTCTTATAACTTTGTTTGTGATTGCAATATTTTGATGCAGTAAAAAGTATCGATACTTTTTTTTTCGATACTAAATTCGCTAGATCAACACACAATGCTGACATTACGCCGCGCACACACAATCAACAAAAATATTGTTGTTTTCTAATTACGCAAATAACTTTGCGCATTAAACATTTTAATTGCCTGGCAATAATTCAATTGACTGTCATTCTCGATTGAAATATCAGAATTTCACAACTAGCTCACATTTACCCTCATGACGCTATATACCTATATATATTTATAACTTTGGTTGTGATTGAAATTTTTTGATGCGGTAAAAAGTATCGTTTTGGGGCTATATGACGAAGAGAAATTAAAACATAACTGATGCTTAAAATTTCCTCGAACAAAGCTTTCGACTAGCGGCGGGTTTCTAGTAAGGTATAATGTAACGTTAACTCCAGATATAAGGCACAAGTTAAAGGACCAGTTAACTGAAAAAAAGTTATCCTCATATTTTGACAGATTGTGACAAATAGCAAACTAAGCAACGAGTCGAAATTGTTTGTTCGTAAGTCATATATTAATATGCTAATTGCGGTTCTTTTGCACCCTGTCTAAAGACTCTATCACGATCCTATCGAAAATGGTATTACTATAATAAATATATTTGGTAGACCGGGTATTTTGGCGGGAATTCTGTTCCTACGGCACTGTTCTGATAGAAGCTACTTCTACTAATGGTCCCAGAGGAACGGCCGTAAAGTAGCCAGACTTCTTGTCTCCTGTACTGGCTGACACATGCGGATTAAAGTTAGAAATTTCGCTATGTGTAATTAAGCAATGAAAACAATCCAAAATTATCACATATGACATAAGTTCTAATAGCAGAAACTTTCTAACCGTACATTCACCCGCCACTGTTCAAGAACCTATATCACTGTTTAAAATCATGACGTGAGCACTGTACATCCAATCAGCTATTCCTTTAGTTAGGATGATAGCCAAAACTATAAGGATTTTGGAGAACTAGGGTAATAGTCATAATTTAATTCAAAAATTTGAGTGAGTTACACGTGTTTTATTGACGATGATAAACATTTGCAATGTATTTCGCTATGCAAGCGCGCACTGAGGGACTTTATGACGTCACGAGGCCACAGCTTATTATTGCAATAACACGCGTTACACGTACGCTAGAGAGTTGGTTCTTTCGGCGATACGATTCTTTACCAGTTTGTCACAGCTGATTTAAATCTTAGCCAAATTGGAGACTACATATTATGATAGGAAAAAGTTTAATGTTAAAGGTAAGGTTAACTTTAAATTTGAGGCAGAAGGTAATGAGTAGTGTACAACGGAAGGGGACCATTCTCATAAAAGGAGCGTCGACTTATCCGTAAGTAGCCCTAGCACAATCCTTAAATACCGCAAGTTCATCCTTAAACCGTTATAAAGACTTGAAATACCGCTTGTAGAAGTCCCGATACAATTCTTGGTAGTCCTTTTCGATATTGGTTGAAATCTGTATTCGTTAATCTTAAGCAAATATTTGAATACATTTCTTTCATCTTCTGAACTTGAAATCTTTCCTTCATAAGCCCGATTATTAGTTGAGAACTAGTAGCGTCGTTGTTTACAATTACTGAGATTCGGCAGAGAGACTGGTGCCACCCTAAGCCGCTCAGGCGCTTAGTTTATAATAACATCTATGACATTCAAGTGCATTTTAAAGCAATTTGCCCTTGAGTATGATAATTATAACCAGTTTTATCGTGTTCGGCGTCCTTGGAAACATAGGGTTACATGATTTTCGCTTCGATTTTCATCAACAAAAAATCCTTCTATTTTAAAATCTCTGGCCCAGCTGCCTGCTGGGTTTCAAAAGGTGATACCAGATCGAGATGCTGCGATAATTGCGCAGCTCATCTTAATTGGATCCAATTACACGTGATACACTATATTATTCCATATAAGGCCTGGTCAGGAAGCTTGAGCTCTGGTGACGTCACGAGATATCCTAGTCAGCATTCGACACGTTACGAATGTGATCACGTGACCAAGGATTTACGAATCAAGGTCACGTGATAGGATTGGCGGTCACGTGACTTCAGTTATCCCTTATATGGCACAAGTAGCTGCAACTGATCAGCTCTTAATTGGGCTGCAATCATTGACAGGCCTATAATTACTCATTTTTCAATGACCGATATCTCGATTTTTAATAGGATTAGAGCGTAAAACGAATGCTTCCCGGAATCAGCACAATGAAGAGAACAAGATCCTGTTGGATTCTCAATTATTCATCACCCACCGGTAGTCCCTACTATGTTAAGTTTGGCCGAAGTTGGTCTAAGTGTTGGTGCAGTAACACTGCAGTAACAGGGCAAAGAAAAAAACTCTTGATAGACTAAATGAGAAAAAGTCTGATTTTATAATAATAATAAATACAACTTTTATAAACCGCCTTATAGCTAAATCATATAACTCGATATAATTTAATCCTGGAGATAAACTCCAGTGCTTTCTAAAGCGGCTCTTACATTAACTGAGCTTAATTTAATAATTTAATAATAACATTTTAATATTGAGGAATAAGCAAGAGAAGAGCTGTCCAGTGATGGCAAGATAACAAATTTTCCGTTGCAATGGTAAGGGATAAGATTATTATTATTATTAAATCTAAAATAGCTAATAATTTAATTAATTATTAACAGGCCCCTTAACGTGGGCAATAACATACGCTTTATATATATAAGGGATAAGAAGACTTTCAGCTAAACAATAGCAGAGTGCAAGACAAATTCATAGGACGTTTGGTAATAGAATTATGCCTACCATTTGCATTAGCCATAAAGAGGTATTACCCAGGAGTTTTTGTAGAAAGTAAAGTTTAATGTAAGTAAGTAAGTAACGAACTCGCATATGGGAAAGGTTCATGTGTTAAGGTGAGCAATTTGTAACAAATAATTTGAGGACAACATGACACTTCAAAACATAACAAGAGGAAATATGGACAGAAAAACCACATTCAAAGACTGAAAGATCTGGAGGACTCTGCAACCCAGGAATCAACTACTCAGTTATCATCGCTCAATAATCGGTTTGGTATCGATGTTACATACTATGTTTCCGCGACTTTGAAGCTTTTCTTTTTTTTTCAAACATTGGAGTACAATGTGCAGAAAGTTGGAGATTTAAACTTTTGGAAGCATGTAAGGATATAGATCTGATATCGATTGTAAATACTAAAGATACTCTAGCACAATTGTAACTGCAGTTTTACATGCTTGATGAACACTCTTGCAGGTACCACCCGTATTCATACTCAGACCTGAATATAGTCATTTTCCGATACAAGATTGGGGACAGGTTCTATAAACCAAAAAACAAACAAACAAGGTTGAAGGTGAGTCGACTTAGTACAAAAGCAAAAGATAAAACAGACATTATCATTTCATCAAAACAAGGCAATGAATTAAATTAGCCTCGGATGGCAAGAAGTCCTTCGAAATGTAAAATTTCATTTCCCATCGAAAACTTATATCACTGGATACTACTCCATACTCAGATAAAAATGGAAAATGTAGTTTAACGAATAACTTTAGTTCCCAAAAATGTGTCATTGAGTATGGAGTAACCAAAGTTGAATACAAGCCTCGGCGTATCAAAAACAACATAATTTAGCTAAAAACTGTTCATGTTGTGCAAATGATCACATGACACACAAACGGCATCAACCAGGCCGAAGAATAATATGATAATCATTAAATTTTATTATCAGTATGTTATAAACATGTGAATATGTGAGCCTTTAAAATTAAATTTGTTTGATTGATGATGTCAACCCATCAAGATTGTTGCTCTGAGAACAGCAAAGCAAAAATGATAGTTTGTCCCCTTAATATGGAGCCTGCGAAGTGCAAATGCGCGCGGCGCAACCACGTCTTAATTCCACGCGGGTTATATATATTGTTCTTGTCCCATGTCATGTGCCTTGTATTGTTTATTTTTTGACATCCGTTGCATGCCACTTTTCGCGCGCGAAGCGCCGACGAAACATGTATCAATTTATTTTTATTGTTTATTGATTTTTTGTTATAGACTGACCCGGCGCGCGCTATACTACGTTGCAGCACTTGGACAAGTATTTGCTCTATCCAGAGCCCTCTCGCTTGCAGTAGCTTAACGGGTGATACTTAACGGGTGATATACAGGACCGTCGACGAGTCCAACACGGCGCGCGTCCTGGTAGGTTGTAAACCTACAAGCAGTAGCGCGCGACCGCCGAAGGCGCGTCAGTACGCAGTACGCGTAGACTCATGGCTAGGTCAAGACAAGTATTATAAGTCATTTTATGAATCGATCCGGCATTTGCTTGCTCGAACCATGCAACGTTATGTGTTAGCTCTAGTGTATGTTTATAACCTACCGAGACGCGCGCCGAGTTGGTACAAACATTTAATTTTACGAATATCACATGATCATACGCTAATAATTGTTTTGTGCTTACTGCTTAAATAATATTGCGTGACCACCATGATTATCAGATTATATGGCAGGCATATGATTTATTTGTAAAATCAAGCGTGTCACATATAATATGTGACACGCTTGATTTTACAAATGAATCATATGCCTGCCATTAATTGCAGACGAATGACGATGTCAATCAGTCAATCACTCAATCCTTTGCAGCCCGGCGTGGTCCTGTGTGCTGTGGTGCCCGTGAATTTCGCCGATCTAATGAGAAGCATTTATATTTGATGCGCGGCGCGGCCCAGTAGTGCATTACGCTACTATGCAACGTCACATATTAAACTTCACATAGTATACGCGCAGACATATTGCATTATGCATTGGTAGGACGACGACGTAGGTTAAGCATAAAATATTAAGCGCTTTTCTTCACAGCAACTGCTTAGTGCTTAGGGTTGAATAGTATTTAATTAGGAAGAATTATAACATTTAAAAAAATTTTAAATGTGTATCATTTGTTTTATTTCACGTTCAACGTTCATCGTTTCAATTTTAACTTTTTTGACGCGTGGCCGTCAGGGCGATTTTGGCTTTGCAGCCTAGCTTCGTTTTTAATTGTTAATAATTTTAAATCTACCTTACCTGGGGACCTCAGGCTATTATGTTCATAAACATATAGAATAGAGATTCGGCGGAATGACAGGCTGAGCGCGGCCCAGTAAAATCTAGACCAAGACACGATCAACTAAAAATAAAATTTTGGACAAGCACTGACATCACAAATGACAAATAACAAATCATGGCCTTGCAATTTCCTCATTCTACGCTAGGTACGCGGGCTGAAATATAAATATTTAACAGAAAGCATTAGCAGTTGCTGCAGGAAAATGGAATTTATGTATTATTGGACTTGTTGTAGGGTGTTATAGAAAGAATTTGGGTGGGGTCACGGGTTGAAATGATCAATGCAACGTATAAACGAACTAGGTTCATATTGTAACATTGACAATTGATATAATAGGGTGCGCGTGGCAATTAGGATTTTTTGATTGCTCTATCCAGAGCCCTTGCGCTTGTTGTTAAATAAGCGCGCCCGCATCGGCGCGAAAGCACATGGTTAGGTGATGCATTTTTTGACGTCACGGCCCAACTTGCTGCCATGCACGTTCAACGTTTTATAGCTCTCTCGTGCACGCAAAGCGTACACTCCGGCCGGCCGGCGAGAATGCCGGCCGATCAAAAGGTGTTGCAGCGTGTGTCAAGGTCCAACAAGGACTAAAGAAAATCGCAATTATTTAGACCAAAAATCGCGGCGCCGCGACATGCCAAACCACAAACTAAACAAAATTGCGGCAAAAAAAATCTCAAAAATCGCGGCGAAAGATAATGTATTTGCAGAGCAAAGTCAGATGTCATATATTCGTTAACTAGCTCGTTAGTTTAGTTAGATTAGCTATACATACTGAGCAGAGCTTGCTTTTAGATCAGCCCTTCCAGACGATCTCGAAAGTTCTTCCCAGCTCTCCAGACCTCGCCAGAGGCAGAACGGAACTCGTTGTTCCACTTCGAATCTGTGACTGTACTCATATAAATAATATTATTAGTTAACTTTTGTTAATTCTTTACCATACTACACGCAATCAAACCAATAAACCCTGAGATTACATCACGTGATCGAATCACGTGTTTTGATAACAAAGCTAGAGACTAAGGGGTAAGGAGCACACTGCTTTTCATGTGTTTTATAGACTTACCACGAGTTCCTTTTCACAAATTGTACTACTAGTCTCAACTATAATTCTAAAAATTATCCTTTGTGGGGACCGACGGCTCATCCATCATCGTCTGAGTATAAGGCAGACACTCCTGATCAAGGACAAAAGAAAATCGCGATTACTTAGGCCACAAATCGCGGCTATGTTACAACCAGATCATTCTTAAATTAGGCCTTGACAATAGCATGTCTGAAGAGCCTTGCAGCAAAATATACGAAATTTCATGAGCTATGTAAAATATCCGAATATATACTGGTTTTTAACAAAATCTTAACCGATTAGCAAAGAAAATGAGTGGAAAATATGCTGCTCCTTCATAATTTTTTTATAGATATTTAAAACCGTTTCAATGTATCGTGAACACCCTGTATATGATATATATTAACTGTACTATCTTTTGCAAGCTGATGTCAACTTTGCGTTGACCGGTTGATGTAGAAAAGACAATTGTAAATATCAGATTTTCGCAACCATAAGGTAAGTTATACAACTCAATTCGGCGACGGCGTTCTGTGATCACGTGCCCGACAAAGTGTTGCCGTAAGATAAGTTTATTTGTTTTAAATATTTCAATATTTAAAACTTTTAAGATTTTAAAAGCTTTTAGTCACTAAAGTCATGAAAAGAATATAAAAAAATATTGTGGCGGGTTAAAAATAATGGCGAGTAAAAATCGAGGAGGAGGAGGAGGAGGAAGAGGAGGAGACTTATCAAGTTTTGATCACCTTTTCTACATTTGATCTTACAATTATTTGTATCACTCATTCCGTTTCGTTTCGTTCCATTTTACCTCATTTCGTTTCAATTAATTCAATTAATTTCATTCAACTCCAACCTCTATGCCTGCATTTAATGAACAAGAAACTATAACTGCCAGCAAAAATTCTTGAAATTCTGTGCTTACTCCTGATTAGAATAAAGCGAACAAATTTGGAAACAACTGTAGGGATTTATTAAAATGTTACGAATTTAACGTTATTTCAATAAGACAAATAATAGCTTGTAATCACGGTGATTCAAACCCACAACCTCCCGACTGAGAAGGGGAGGATCTAGCCCTGTGCTATCTAGCAGCTATAAGATAACATCACCCTCTCCAATACATACAGTGTTGGCCAGTGTAATACGTGGTCTAGTTTTCACCCGAGATAACGCTTATCATTATACTATAAGTATGCATTTGATAAAAGATAACAACCAATACAGTCATATCTTTCATAATATCACAGTTGCAATGCACGACGATGAAGAATAATTGCATGATGGTCAAGAATTGTCTTTGTTATAACTATGTGCAGTTATTAAATGAGACAATAAGCTAGTCGAGTTATAAAATATAGTGAAAATTGAGATATTAAGTACCAATCTTTAGTGTGTATCTAGTAATCGTGTTAATGCCATAGATATTCGCAGTTTCAATGGTTTGTTATGTAGTTCTTAACTGTTTACACGACTTGAATAGTTTCATCCCAAATTATTAAAACACATTGAAATCAGCTGTGCAATTAATTTGTGAACATAGGTAACTTACTTCCGCTGTGGTTTGGTACTACAAAATTTGGTAAGTTTCGATCGCGAAAAATAGGCGTGTAATTTGGGCATTTACAAATATCTGGCTACAAAACATTTGGGTGAGACCTTGGTTCCAAATCTGCCTCTGCTTTTTCGGTTGTTAATAATGATAATCTTTTAAAATGGATGGGGTTATTCCTACATTAATCTAAGATCAATAATTTAAATATTATATTAATATTATCCCCCGTCTGATTGTAGCTTACAAACGACACGCTTCAGACCAAACACACATAATGGGCATGGCAAAAAACTGGGAATCATTTGTCAGCATGACTCGTGCAAAGGCTGAATCTCATAGAAAAGTAGCACAATATTGGGACCGAGTCCACAACATCTTGAGCATGGTAGATTCCAAACACAAGGAAATTTTTCCTTTGGTTGGTAATATACTCAATGATGGAAGTATAGTGTATTGGCTATGCCCCGCTTACTAGTTTAGCTCTTTCTAGTCCCCTGCTACACGGCATGTAAACAGGGATTGGCTAGTTAGAGGCGGTCCGTGTAGGCCTTACACTGTGCTTTCAGCAATACTCATAACTCTCATATTTTTATCCGCAATGACTACCCTGTCCACACTTCTGCCCATTTCTCACTATTTTGGAGCTGCATTGGGAACTGTCACTACCCTTGTATCTGCCATAAATGGCTCCTTGAATCCGAGTGGGAGAAGACAAAATCAGATGGAAGCTAGTAGACGGTTTATGGCCCTGATGCTGAGAATGGTAAGAGTTGAAACTGAAAGGGATTATGAGGAGATGTGGAAGGAATATAACAAAGAATTACTGGACGAACCGTTCCTTCCATCAGGATCAAGAGTCAAAGACGATGCAGCTTTTTCCATATCGCCTGAGTTACAGATAGTGATAACCGAGAAAGAAGCAGATGTTGATGAATGTGCATCAAATTTTGGGGTTGAGGAGGGTCGCTTTGTCGTAGAAAATGGTGTTTCTCAGTCGGTTGAAAATGGGAGAAAATACCGGGATACTGACACTGAACTTAAAGCTGAATCTTCAACGTTGTAGTATTAATAAGATTATGAGAAATGAAGATTACTATGAAAATAGTTGTATACATACTAATTAGAGAGACAATCAATTACTTAGAGACAATTAGAGACACAAATAGAGACACAATGCTCAAAATCGACCCACTATAAAACTCTTTTGGAGTAAAAGCAGCCAAGTTATGTGTTATGGAACCTGCTCCCTGAGGGACGTTCTTGTTTATATCTACGAGTTTAATTCTATATGATTTATTGTAGAATTTATTTTATTGTGATAGAATAATCTTTAGCAAAGTTTTACGGAATACAAAAACTTGGCGACGTTGGTGTTGGTTTGTCATCATTTGTCATTGTATCAGCAGAAGTGGAATGGAAACTTCTAGAAGATGGAAAGAAAATGCCCATAGACTTCGCCGAGACGAACTTTCAGTTAAAGTCGGACTTCGACAAAATTTAGCGAAGCAGCAAACGAGCAGCACTACCATTATAACAACGGGGTGCACCCTAAAGACACTCTGAAGTCTGACATCGAAATTGCATAACATCAACTGTCCCTATCAAGTTTTTATAAAAACATATTATCAAGATCATCAAAATCCAGACGTTTAAAATGATAAAATTCTAGAAGGTTTAAAGTTCTTCCCTTGGAACACAGCCAACAAATCTTCAGCAGATTTCCCCATATTATCTACAAAATCACTGAAGTGATCGTTGGGGAGGTAGCAGGAAACGGCAGCTCCGAAACTTTCTTTACTCATCAAGTAACCTGGAGATATTTACTGTTATCTAAATGGGAAGTGGTACTTCCAGGGGATATATATTATATAACTGTTGCACACTATGATGATTGCAGATCTGATATATGATAGCATAAATTTAGAATTCAATTCATAACTCGATTTTGGGTATCCCTCGAAATTCCAGTTTTAAAAATTGAAAGCTTTAAAAATACTGTCACACCAAATAAATATATTGTCGATTAAACCCACCTATCCCATAGCCTTGAGAAGAAACTGCCCCAAAAGTTAAGTATAGTTTAAGAGCCGGTGACCCAACAGTACTGGTAGACAGCCCAATATTCGCCATCTTACCCCAACTCGGATCTGTAAACAACTCCAACTCTTTCTCCCCTTGATGTCGGTTCATCGTGCGCAACGCAAGCAAATGTCTGTCAAACCCTTCTCCTTGAGCAGCTTCCTTACAAAGTGACACATGCTTTGAGGAGGTTTTCTTGAGCAGATCCACAATCTCAGATAAGCTGGCCTGATGATCGTGATCAAATGCTACAGAACAGTTTTTAGTTTCAGTCGAGCAGGATCTGATAGTCTCAGTTCTCCCTGATCTATAATGAGCGGTACTACCTGACTCGTATGTTCCCACACACTCCCCGTGTGTTCTCCAATACCCCATCTGGAATATCAGCTGACTCACAGAATCTGGGCTCATTCCGAACTTTTTGATTACACTCTTTCCGAAACCACCAAAGTTGAAATCTTCAACTTTAGATCCCGAATTAGCAGCTACATACTGAGATTTAGCCTTTTCAAGTTGACCTAGAATCGAGTCACTGTAGACAGGATCAACTCTAACAACAGGTATAGCATCACTTCCAGCACTCTTCACAGGCACCTGTCTCAAATAATCAATATGCACGTTGTTCATCATGTTCATTTTTGCGAAACCATCTAACCTAGAGTGTTCCCAGTTCACACCTGCCTTTCCATCCTGAGTAACCACCAAACTAAACGACTTGTCAAACCACCGGTTGTGGCCCTCTCCAACCAGTCCGTTCTTCAGAACCTCACCTGAGTTCTGGGTCTTCAAATCATCCAGACACAACACGAAGATTGCTTCATCAATGACATCTAGAAAAAGTTTGTTCTGCGCTTCAAGCTCTGCGCGCACGTTAGACCAATCCTCTCTTTCCAGTGCAGTGAAATACCCTAATCCTTGTTTGTTAGGAGCTCGTGAGTCAGCTAGAATCTCCTCTAGCGCTAACTGCAAAGCGCCAGTGTCTCTTATTTCACCTTTACTATCCAAAACTTCAATACTGTAAACATGTCCCTTGTGCAGCACTGCAAGATGTCTAGAATCAGGGAACTTCACATTCTCATCACGGGTCTTGCCGGGAATACGCGTAGACTGGAACAGCAGCGGGAACTGCATCATACACGCATTGATGGGTGGTAACTTATTGTCGCGCAGCGTACAGAAGTAGCGCAGAGTGGATGTAACCAGCTGTGTTGCTTTGTCTATCTGGGTGTTAAGCGCTGGGTCCGGATGGTCGGAGTAGGTTAGGAAGGTGTTGGAATTGAGTAGGACGGACCTTCGGTCACATAGGTACATGTCAAGCCAGGCATGGTGGATATAGCTGTGTTGAGGGTCAAGTGTTTTTTCTCTGGCTAGGAGTGCCGCGTGGAGGTCTCTGCCTATACCTATAGGGAGGATGAATTGAAAATAATCGAGAAAACCTTCAAGTACTAAATTACTGTAAAACCAGATACTGTAAAACCGAATATAATAATGTGCTCTATCAAAACAACTTCAAAATGCACAATTCACCCTTCTTGAACTTGTTGACAGTATCAGAAGTAGCAGCAAACTCAGCAGCAGTTAGGAGAGGTCTCTGTGCGTTCAGATATCTTGCACAGGTGTCCGCTAGGTTAGGAATAGGAAGACGAGGGAGAGTCTCTTGGAGAGCCTGAAATATGTCAAATATGTAAGTCAGTGCAGTGATTAGAGGCTTTTAATTCGGAAAATCTATAACTTATAAGTAAACAACTGAAATACATTGTTTTTGTATTTGAGTGTCATTTACACTACTATTACTCACAGTAGTTGGGGTATCAGAGTGGTGAAGATAATTTCCTCCAGCCCCTGAAGGTACGGTACCTAAGTGCCTAGGTACGGTACCTAGGTAGCTATTAGAAGCAGCGTGAACTAGGTATCGGGTATCATTTAGACAAGATTTACTGGCTACTTTCAGCATTCAGTAATTTTTAACAGAAACAGAAGATTTGTGTTATGAAATTATAACCACACAGTTGATAACAATTTGCAGTGTAGCGGACAAAAATCAAAACTAATGTAACAACTTAGTGTGTGATCTATTCAGATAATTAGCGCTGCCTTACGTCAAGGCGGAAAAGGTGCAGGAGACTACGTACTCCACAATGGCATCTGATACAATACAATATACCTTATGTCACACACCCCGTACCCGTTTTAAGAAGACGCAATCAGGGCAATAACTAGATTTTTCAAGGTCGTTAGAAGCAATTAGACTATTAGTTATATGGGGAATGTCATGCAATCAGTGACTGATTAGTAATTGAAGACGGTTTTTATAATGCTGCTTATGTGAACTACAGTGATGTGCCCTGATGAGGTGTTATTGGAGTACTGCGAGAACTTTAAGTTTATTATCGTGAGGGATTATTGTCAAATAGTAATAAAACATGACAGACTCTTCAGCATGCAGTAGCCATTAACTGATAACCACAGTTACGAATTCGATTGACGTCTTAGTCTTAGTCTTACGATATGTTACACAATTTGGTACGCGGACCGAATCGCTATATATTTTAATTTATAGCGTAATACCGGAACGGGTTTGTGGCGTACCATCTCACCGTACCCGCATCCCTACACCGCGGTAGCCGCACCATACATTGATCATTATACTTCAGTAGAATCTGATTAACAATTAAGTTACGCACGATTTGCAAAAGCATATGAGATTCGATCAGTTAGGGCGCAATTAGATTTTGACCGTTCTGTGCAGTACATGCTTATAGTTATACGTTTTTGTTGTATGAGTGATGAGTAAGGTGTGGAATTGTAAAAGTAAGCTATACCGTACCAATGTATTTTTTACGCTGATTTTGAATAAGACCTATTACATAGCATGAAATTAAAGTCATTTTTAGACGAGTTATGATCAAATAATAATTTTTGTCAGACGCACGCACGTGACAAGCTTTACTTGTAAAACGATATTTGAGCTGTTTGTTATTATACTTTAGATTTAGAGTTAGTTTTGGTTTTTAAAGTAATCGTGAAGATAATAACAATATATATAATAAAGATTTATTATAGCTGTGGTGCGCACGGTGCCGCGCAACGGCGTTGTGGGGTCGGCCACTCACGCTGAATAACAGAGTAGCCAAACCGGGGTCTATTACCCGTACGGCATATTATTACGCGCAGGGTCACTGGCGGTCCGCCGACCAGGGACGTCCGGTGGCGATCTGCCTCTGGTCTGCATGATATATGACCACCAAATCTGAGAGCAGGTTGGGGGCACTACGGAAAGCTTATAAGCTACCGTCAACTATTACTACTAGTACTACTACTACTAATAAAGATTTGAAGACTAAAGTACAAATGTATGCCATGCACCTTATATAACTTTAAATACTTACCATTAAAATCGAAATCAGCATTTACAATTAATTTACACAAAACAGTCAAAACACAAAATTTAATTGCACCTGGCTATGCGTAAACACATGGGTAGCCAAAACCAAAAGTGAACTACTTCATATTTCAATATTTTCGTAATGGAATGGATTGCCATCCTCAAAATTAATTGACGCGATGTCAACCCTTCCAGCTAGTAGTAGTACTGATCGTTGCTCTGCGAAGCAATAATGCAAAACAACGATGCGAACATGGAACAGAGAGGTAAGATCAGAATGAAAGTTCCAAATTCGCGCGGCGCGTCGAAGTTAAGGAGCAATTAGTCCTCCAATTCTCAAAATTTAGTAAAAAGCCTTATTAATTATAAGCATTTTCTGCTCGATTATACGCTAATCAAACATTAAATACACTTTTTATTATACGTATTTTGACCGGATAACAATGATCTAAAATGCAAATGCAAAATGGTCATAAAATACAAATTATTAAACTCAAATTTTTTTTTTGGTTAAAATTGCAAAAAATCAATTTTTCAAATCCAAAAAAATATTAAAATTTATTAAAAAAAGTAAAATAAGTGTAAATTTAAATTGATACACGATGGCAATCCTTCGCAGCTCGGCGAGTCTCAGTGGTGCATTTTGCCGATCTACCGAATGTTGCGAGAATAATTATTTGATGCGCGGCGCGGCCCAAATATAGTGCATCATGCGACAAAAATTTAAACTTTTTTTATTTATGCGTGGTTTAATTTTTGGTACTATTGGAGGTATATATCGTATTTTTTGTAGCGCGATGCGTTACTGTGCCGCGCCGCGCACTTGCAATAAGGCTTCTCACAGCGATCTGGCTAGATCGGCGAGATGCGCTACTGTGCCGCGCCGAGCTGCCATGAATTGACATCGTCAATTAATCGTATTTTGTAAACAATTTATTTGTATATTCAATATTTCGTAATAAGGATGAATTGAAAAATAATTTCCGCCAAAAAAGATTTTGAAATTAAACCAAAGTTTTGAGTGCGCCGCGCATATTTTCTAAAAATTATACACAGAATGAAAATCGAGCGCTAAAGCATATAAACTGTCATATTGTCACATCACAGTGCTGGCGAGCACGACCGTTGCATTTATTGTGGGTATACTATGTTCCCCACTTACTATTATACCCCTTTTACTATTATACCCCTTTGGTACACGTTACAAGCCTCTTTTGTGCACGCGAAGCGTGCACTCCGCCTCCGGCAGGAGTTTTCCAGGCATTAAGACTCATCGGAAGTCGTTCAGCAGATTTATTTTTAGTTCAAAACATTCTAATTTGATGTCGAAGATGACAGGAATAAAAAATAGTTATGTTCAGATTTTTAAGAAATTTGCATAAAATACTCGCCAGCACTGTTATACGAAATTCGGTAAAAAACCCAAAATCGCCATATTCAGGTGTCCTAAAAACCATGTTAAAATTGAGTTAGAGATCTGAAATTTTTCAGGGCGTCTAGACGTTGACCAAATTGACTGCAAAAAAAGTTTCAGGTTTCAGGAGCATCGGGAAATGGGTTTTCTAGAACCCCTGTTTTACGACAGATTGTCCCTGAATATACATGTATACAGATATACATATATATTCAGGGATAGACGCTTTGCCAGTCAATTGTAGCCTGTATTTAAATTGTGCATTAGGCTAGTTTTAAAGTTGAAAATCGAAAAGTTGCACACGTGGGGACACGCCCAAATTGATAGAAAATTGCTAAAATCACTGAAAATTGCTGTTTTCGTCATTTTCTGTCAACTTTAGAGTGCCGTTGTGATTACAGTTCTTCTTGAAATACTTTGAAACTTTGCATGCTTATCAAGCTATATATAAAACAATTACATGCAAAAATTTAGGGCGATTCAATATTGGATGCGCATGAAATGTCCGCTCAAAGTTTGCACGTGCGAAAGGTGAGAATTTTGCTCATTCGTGATTTCCAACAAATTCTGCTTTGCCACGACAGTTTAATGTCATTATATATGAATTTAATGTCAACTTGAATGAGTATTAAGTGGTATATTCAGTCAGTGATGGACCGATATGCTTACCTAAACACAAGGAAATGTTTTTAAAGGAAAAATTTCGAAATCGTTGAAACTTCCTCCTTATTATAATGAAGATATCAGTTTATATTTCGACTTTATAAAGTACCCTGACATTATAATAAAAAAGAGATGATATTTTACCAAAACCCATAATCATGGGTAGAGTGGACCGCTGCCAGTGTCTCTCTTTCCCAAACAAAAGGAAATGATATTAATTTGATTGACCGTTCTCAAATGCAAAATGATACCGAGAATGAAATCGGTCGCTCGCTTTTCCCATTCATTTACAATTGTAATAGATTAAGAAGAACTACCCAAAGGCAGCTGTACTCGGCAATAAAGATTCAATAAACTTCAGCTAATGCAATAAGTGATAACTACCACCCTTACCCCGAAATACTAGGTATCGACCCGAACGCAACCCAAAGAGATTTTTACAGCATCTGATTGACATGTAATCAATCGAAAATTATTACAATTCGTAAGCCGTGAATGAATGGGAAAAGCGAGCGACCGATTTCATTCTCGGTATCATTTTGCATTTGAGAACGGTCAATCAAATTAATATCATTTCCTTTTGTTTGGGAAAGAGAGACACTGGCAGCGGTCCACTCTACCCATGATTATGGGTTTTGGCAAAATAACTACTTTAGTAGTTTTAAGCGGTTTTTAAAGATTAGATTAGATTAAGAACAATGAAATATACATCATCACTAGTTTTAGACATTTTTCCGAATTTTTTCCCTAGATCGTAGGGAATAAGTAATCGGGTTTGGATATATGAGGTGGCCCGATGGACCTGCGATGACGACAAAAGTCTGCTCCTTCGCAATATAGACCACTCCCCTATAATTATGTGTACAAAAGGAACCTATTTTGCGCGCGCGAGGCCAGTTATGTGTTAATTAATTAGAGGCATAGCAACCAGTTGTAGGTGCTTGACGACTGTTACACAGATTTCCATCGGGTTACAATTTACTCTAATTCATTAATATAGCATATTAGTCATCTGAGCGGATCAATCATCAATATTTAAAGTGTTATTTTGTTGAAACAAGCTCAATAAATTACCGAGTGATAAAATTCAGCAAGTCAAAACAAATTAAATTATGATATCAGCTGATAAACTTGTGGCCGATTATTTAACAGTCGATCGACACCGAAGGGTAAAAAGCGATTATATATTTAAGAACAGATGTTACTTTACATTTACACTCAAGAAGCGACTAAGATATGTTGCGGTATGCTTTTAAAGAATCCTATATAGTCGATGGTGCTGTACAGCACCATCGACTACATAGATGTGTCGAGTAAGCATCAAAATGTATTAGTTTATGTTAGATACAAATAATAACTAAGATGAGACAGAATATTTTATTACAGTCAATAAAGTTGGCATACGATGTCATAATATGACGTGACATGATACGTAAACACGAAACAAACCGCGTAAAATATGAAATGATCTACAACCAAACCACATACAGATCAACGGCGACACCTCAGATGCGCGCAGAATTTTCAAGTTCTGCACGCCTAATATAATAATGAAAACGATTATCACCATGCGCGCCAAACACCACTCTGGGATACAATAAAGTAGAACAATTAGTATTACATTGTAGGCAGTAGGGAAATTTGATCGTGCGTGGTGTTACCGCGGCGAAATTCTTGTTCTTCTTTCGTCATTAAAAAACAAAGTTTTAACAGAATTGTCATAAAAATAATTTATCTCCATAAAGTAGAAATTAAACTAATAAATGAAAAACTGTTAATTTAAAAAAAATTGAAGAAACTTATTCCTATTTGGCAACACACGGATTTTTATGTAAATATTGAACTTTTTGCTTCTTATTTTCGATATAATTTATACCCTCTATCTTCCCTAGAACTGTGTATGACACAAAAGTTGCCTGTGTCTACTGAGTTATTATTCTTTTTAAATTCATCTAGGTTAATTTTAAAATCAATGACAGACACTGAATTTCTAACAAAAGGTGGCAATTTATTCCAAAAGCTGATAACATGCTCTAATAAAAAATTATTTGACAACGTTTTAATATTTCTATCGTTATTGTGGCATTTCAGAACTTCTTTTCCTTCGAATTGATTATCATTTCGCTGTGTAATTTAATCATTAACTATTTTTTCATGTATTCTCTTTGATGTGGATTACACATCCATACTAAGTAAAACAAAAGTTTAAGTAAAACAAAATTTCTAATGGAAGTCGACTCTATATAATGTGACAAGCTTTTTATCATATTCTTTAATATACTCAAAAGTTGACTCCACATGTGACATACTTTTTATCTTCTACTATATAATTTATCGTGATTGGTTGACACTGAATTGGTTTTAATGGATCCTTTACAGTTACACTGTTAACAAGAATTTCGCCGCGGTAACACCACGCACGATCAAATTTCCCTACTGCCTACAATGTTATTGTTTTACTTTATTGTATCCCAGAGTGGTGTTTGGCGCACGTGATCATCGTTTATATTATATTAGGCGTGCAGAACTTGAAAAATTCTGCGCGCATTTGAGGTGTCGCCGTCGATCTGTATGTGGTTTGGTTGTAGATCATTTCATACTTTGCGCGGTTTTGTTTCATGTTAATAGCAATAACGATGCGTATCATGTCACGTCATATTACTGCATCGTATGCCAACTTTATTGACTTGTGACTGTAATAAAAAATTCTGCCTCGTCTTAGTTATTATTTTTATCTAATATAATTTAAACTAATACATTTTGATGCTTACTCGACACATCTATACTTATAGCACCATCGATTTTCGAGCCTTTTATTTGATATACGATTCTTTAAAAGCATACCGCAATCTTGATATTAGTTGCTTCTTGAATGTAAATGTAAAGTAACATCTGTTCTCAACTATGTATTCCTATGCTTTTTACCATTCAGTGTTGATTAACTGTATAATAATCAGCCACGATTTTATCAGCTGATATCATAATTTTATTTGTTTTGACTTGCTGAATTTTATCACTCGGTAATTAATTAAGCTTGTCTCACCAAAATAACACTTAAATTTATGATTGATCCGTGTGTAACAGTCGTCAAGCACCAAAAACTGGTTGCTATGCCTGTAATTAATTAACGCATAACTGGCGTCGCGCGCGCAAAATAGACTCCTTTTATACACATAATTATAGGGGAGTTGTCTATATTGCGAAGGAGCAGACTTTTGTCGACATCGTAGGACCGTCGGGCCACCTCATATATCCAAACCTGATTACTTATTCCCTACGATCTTTTTGCCTTCGGCAAGAGTAGGGAAAAAAATTTGAAGTTTGATGGAATTACAGAAACGAAAATAATTGATAATTCATCACAAGGAATTCATTAAAGCAGCTGAAAGTTTGTTGCTTAATTAGTATCAGGTCATTGTCCCCAAAATTTGGCTCATATACCAGCTATATTGTGACCCAACATTAATGTGGTTTTGAAACATTAGTTCATTGACTACAATCATGTAAATCGAAAACTTATCACCAGCCATGTCATTTCCACCATCTAACGATGCTTCAATGATGCCAAGTCCAAGACGGGGAAAACGGAATCCTCGCTTTTCCTCTCCAGGACAACAGTTTTCACCTGGTGGCCAACAAAATTCCTTCCATCAGTCGCCTTACAATAACGGAGGAGGCCAACAGTCTCCCTATAATAACAGAGGAGGCCAACAGTCTCCCTATAATAACAGAGGTTTTGGGTACGTTACACTTTATGGCTTGAGATATCAAATGGTGAATGTATATGAATGTATCTGTGACGAATATTTTGATCTAAAACCTTAAGCTGTATTTGTTGGCTTTTCAATTGGAACTGATGGGATTTTTGTACAGTGCTGTTTAATTTCTAGAATTGCTGATGAACAATGAACATTAATTTAGTTCATTTCACTGCAGGACTCCAAATAGACAGTCAGGTGGACGCGGGCGGGGCCGTGGACGTGGACAAGGGTGTCAATATGGGGACTATCAGAGAGATGTCCAACAGTTCAGTCCCAACTACCGGTCTATGAGTGGAGGTTATGGAGGCTCCTCACCGGTATGATTATAACTATTCCTGTAACAAATTGACAGTATATATCTGTACTTTTTATTGTAGGAAGGATCTTTGAATTTCAACAAATTTTTGCATAATATTTCGGTGATTCATCTATCTATTTTTAATTGACTCTAATTGATTACAAATTGGATTTGTAATTCTATGAAAATTAACTAAACTAGTTGATTTCACCTCCTCAGAATTGTAGTTTTGACCCTAACCTGAAAAGAAGAATGCACCCACAAGGTAACGGACTCTACCACCCGTCTATGGCAACTGATCCGTGGGAAGGGTTATCATCTGAGGATAAACCTATGTTCAAGTGAGTTCAATGTTAACTAATTAACTAATTAATTAATTAATCAATGTTCAAAACATGTTTTAGTCAGCTAATGAGATTTTCATGTATAGCAAATTCTATCTATTACTTATTAAATAAGGCCATGCGTTGATTCATCAAATTCGACTTTAAATATTCAATCAGTTTAATCTTAACATAATAATATTAATATTAAACTCTTTAAACGCAGGGCTGCAAACTACATCAGCGAAAGTTATTTGAGTTACTGCGCTAAATTGCAAACGAAATCACGTGAACGCACATTTGAGGATGATTGGAAGACATCGTCTGATTCCACAACTACACCCTCAGTATCTCAGTTAGCAGCAAATGTCTCCAAACTCTATGACTCATTTGTCTCTAGTAATTCTGAAAGTATTCCTGGAAAACTAAAAGAACATCGGAATGACGATAGGCCTACTAAAATCCAAAAAACTGAAACCAGTATAAAAAATACTGAAACGGCTACAGAAACTTTGAATGTTGAAGAAGGAGAAAAGAAAGTAAAAGAGGATGACGAATTTTCTGATGACGGAAATTTGATGTTTTGATCTTCATTTATTTAAATGTTTCACTGCCTATGACTTGATAGATAACAGACACTTTTTCCGTATCAAATCTGTGAATTTTAATTTTAGTCAGGATGTAAAACACATTATAAAACCTTTTATAATGTTTATGCCTTTTACAACTTTCTTTTTATTATATAATATTATTATTATCAACTGAAATATAGGAGAACATAAACGTGGATGCGACAGAATTTTAGCACTAAAGAAAAGTTTTGAAAACTGGGATTCGAAATTGAATTATATTTTAAACTGTTTAACATTTGAAATATTTTATCATTCTGCTATGTGGACTTTTATTCCAGTTCTTAACTCATTTGTCCTTATCTTTCTAAATTTAGTTTAACAAATTTATGTTCAAAACATACATCAAGACAGTGGAATAAACCGTTCAGTCTGGGATTTGCTTTACACAAGAGCCTCCCCCCCCCCCCCTCTTTTGATGTTTTAATAACGTAATGTGTGGTTTGTTCTATTATTTACAGCTCTCAACATTTAAAATTACCCAGGATGCTAAAAGTAGCCAGTAAATCTTGTCTAAATGATACCCGATACCTAGTTCACGCTGCTTCTAATAGCTACCTAGGTACCGTACCTAAGCACTTAGGTACCGTACCTTCAGGGGCTGGAGGAAATTATCTTCACCACTCTGATACCCCAACTACTGTGAGTAATAGTAGTGTAAATTTTTTTAAAATTAAATACTTTTCAAACTTTACAGAGTACAGCAATTACAACGTATGAAATAAACTCGAATAAATTATTGCCCCCGTCTGTAAAATCTGACGGGAGACCAAACACGGTACTGCACAGTAAAACGTGCCCGCAATTACATGGCCCCCGATATGATTTTTAAAAGTATGAAACAAAATTGTGATAAAATAAATGTGTGGTGAAGAATGTGAAACAGTTCAAATTTCTTCAGACGAGGCTGATACACTGTTCTTATCAGAGCTGACAATCTTATTGTTCCTTATGAAATGAACTCTGTTAGGCTCTGCTTTCCTCTTCTCTTTCAATTCCTCCCAGAGCTTCTTGTAGGCTCTCCTTTCTTCCACTGATCTGTCTGGGCAAATGTAGATACTTTTATAGCCCTCTTTGTGCGTAGTAGTTTCGCTTTTCGCAGCACCTAAGTAACCATATCAAAGCTATTTAGAGATAGTTTAGTAGGTCGTATTAATGTGCCGGCTCTCTTCAAACCAACTCTACAACAGTCACGAAATGAAGGTTTCTCGTTTATCTCACCAAGAACTTCAGCAAATTTGTTTTCTAACTTCTCGCCGTCGGATTCACTTATTCCGTAGATTACGACGTTTCTGCTTCTTTCATCCTTTTCAGCTATTGTCTTAACTGTAGTACAGATCTTCTTTGGCGTAAGAGCAGCTGCACAAGTCTTCTTCAGGGCAGAAGAATATGATTTCATCTCTGTCTGCACAGTTGTTTGGACAGTCTTAAGTTCTTCGTCCTTCTTTTCAATGAGCTGCTTCTGCAAATCAATGACAGTTTTCTGCTCCGCGATTAATGAAATGTTCTGTTTATCTACTCTCTCCGCAGCCATTTGCAAATGAGGAGCTGCATAACGATTCAAAATGAAGCAAACAGTTTGCAGCCAATCACACAGTTTTTCGTTCGAAACTGATCGCTTGTTCAGGTTTTTCAATACTAGATCTCCGTATTCCTTAACATCCAGTTCATGGCACATTTCATTAAAAACACTGTTTGTAGCTCTCGCTACCTGATCTGCATGTCTGGCACTAAACAGATCATCATTATCGGGGTCATCGACCAAATGCTTCGTATGTTCATGGTATGAGTACTGCATCGTGTATATTCCAATGCAATGTACAGTTCTTGTATACAGGCTACACAACGATCACACTAAAAGACAAGCACTTCTTATCGCAAGTTACAACAGCTGATAACAGAGCTCGCTATTTGCAACCAAATATAAAACGACTACACATCTCAAATACAAAAACAATGTATTTCAGTTGTTTACTTATAAGTTATAGATTTTCCGAATTAAAAGCCTCTAATCACTGCACTGACTTACATATTTAACATATTTCAGGCTCTCCAAGAGACTCTCCCTCGTCTTCCTATTCCTAACCTAGCGGACACCTGTGCAAGATATCTGAACGCACAGAGACCTCTCCTAACTGATGCTGAATTTGCTGCTACTTCTGATACTGTCAACAAGTTCAGGAAGGGTGAGTTGTGCATTTTGAAGTTGTTTTGAAAGAATAATTCAAAACATTGATATCGGGTTTTAACTTCTTATGTTTGTTTTTATTTGTAAATATTATTAATGAGTCATACTAAACCGCAAAGTTTTTATCTAATTACTAGCAAAAAAGAGGTTACAAAATTTCATTTAGTAAGATTTTAGGTTTCAATTTGGTCTATCAATTTTTAACATTCCGCAGGTGTAGGGAGAGATCTCCACGCGGCACTCCTAGCCAGAGAAAAAACACTACACCCTCAACACAGCTATATCCACCATGCCTGGCTTGACATGTATCAATGTGACCGAGGCTCTGTTCTCCTCAACTCAAACCCCGTCCTGACCTACTCCGACCATCCGGACCCAGCACTTAACACCCAGATAGACAAAGCAACACAGCTGGTTACCTCCACTCTACGCTACTTCTGTACGCTGCGCGACAATAAGTTACCACCCATCAACGCGTGTATGATGCAGTTCCCGCTGCTGTTCCAGTCTACGCGTATTCCCGGCAAGACCCGTGATGAGAATGTGAGATTCCCTGATTCTAGACATCTAGCAGTGCTGCACAAGGGACATGTTTACAGTATTGATGTTTTGGATAGTAGAGGTGAAATAAGAGACACTGTTGCTTTACAGTTAGCGCTAGAAGAGATTATAGCTGACTCACGTGCTCCTAACAAACAAGGATTAGGGTATTTCACTGCACTGGAAAGAGAAGAGTGGTCTAACGTGCGCGCAGAGCTTGAAGCGCAGAACAAACCTTTTCTAGATGCCATTGATGAAGCAATCTTCGTGTTATGTCTGGATGATTTGAAGACCCAGAACTCAGGTGAGGTTCTGAAGAACGGACTGGTTGGAGAGGGCCACAACCGTTGGTTTGACAAGTCGTTTAGTTTGGTGGTTACTCAGGATGGAAAGGCAGGTGTGAACTGGGAACACTCTTGGGGAGATGGTGTGACTATAATGCACATGATAAATAATGTACATACTGATTATTTGAGGCAGGTGCCTGTGAAGAGTGCTGGAAGTGAGGCTATACCTGTTGTTAGAGTTGATCCTGTCTACAGTGACTCGATTCTAGGTCAACTTGAAAAGGCTAAATCTCAGTATGAAGCTTCTAATTCGGGATCCAAAGTTGTTGATTTCAACTTTGGTGGTTTCGGAAAGAGTGCAATCAAAAAGTTCGGAATGAGCCCAGATTCTGTGAGTCAGCTGATATTCCAGATGGGGTATTGGAGAACACACGGGGAGTGTGTGGGAACATACGAGTCAGGTAGTACCGCTCATTATAGGTCAGGGAGAACTGAGACTATCAGATCCTGCTCGACTGAAACTAAAAACTGTTCTGTAGCATTTGATTACGATCATCAGGCCAGCTTATCTGAGATTGTGGATCTGCTCAAGAAAACCTCATCAAAGCATGTGTCGCTTTGTAAGGAAGCTGCCCAAGGAGAAGGGTTTGATAGGCATTTGTTTGCGTTGCGCACGCTGAACCGACATCAAGGGGAGAAAGAGTTGGAGTTGTTTACAGATCCGAGTTGGGGTAAGATGGCGAATATTGGACTGTCTACCAGTACTGTTGGGTCACCGGCTCTTCAACTATACTTAGCTTTTGGGGCAGTTTCTCCTCAAGGCTATGGGTTAGGTGGGTTTAATCTACAATATATTTATTTTGTGTGACAGTATTCTCATAGCTTTCAATTTCAAAAACTGGATTTTCGAGATATATCCCAAATCGAGTTATGAATTGAATTCTAAATTTATGCTATCATATATCAGATCTGCAATAATCATAGTGTGCAACAGTTATATATTCCCTGGAAGTACCACTTCCCATTTAGATAACAGTAAATATCTCCAGGTTACTTGATGAGTAAAGAGAGTTTCGGAGCTGCCGTTTCCTGCTACCTGCCCAACGATCACTTCAGTGATTTTGTAGATAATCTGGGAAAATCAGCTGAAGATTTGTTGGCTGTGTTCCAAGGGAAGAACATTAAACTTTCTAGAACTGTGTGAATTCTAAGATTTTTATGATGATCTGGATACGTAATGTTTGTTAAATGATTTCACAGATTGAAGTGATGATAGAGTTAGTTTATGAGACAATTAAAGAGACATTTTTTAAAATTATAATTTATGATGGGTAGTTTAGATTTCTCAGCGGTTAGACGATATAGTGATTAGTGACCTGGAATTTTCGAAAATTTCATAACATCAGGATAATTTTGGTTGATGTTATCCACAAGTAAAATGTATATATTATTTATTTGTAGTCGCCTTTTTATGTTGCCTTGTTTCTCTAACATGATGGTAGCAAACAGATACATATTTTAATATTTTAATTGTTTTGATGGAGTTAGTATGGTAGATTGGTAGTGCGAAATTTTAGGCTTTTGAGGGTTTTTCTCAGAGATTGATGTGGAGTGGACATTTAAAGATTATTTTGTATTCAATAATGAGATGTTTTTATATGAAATTAACAAAAATCTAAAGATTTCATCAAAAAAATGTTAGCTGTTTCACAATTTTATTCAGTATTCTATCGAAAACCGGAAACAAAATGAACTTTTCTTGAGAAATTCTAGATGAAAATGGAGTGCAGTCATTTTACATTGAGGATAACATGTTCCATGAGTAACGAATGATATCTACATACCATAATGTACAATAATGTACATACCATACATTCTACATACCATAATGTACAATCTACATCGCAAAAGTAGAAAATAAAACAGAAATCACAATAATAGTATAGGCTTGCACGTTACATGCATAATCGGAATCTACTTTGCTACAACAAACAGATACAGTCTATAAAATTACAATTTCTACATACTATGCAATTTGTCACATTGTCAGGTTTAATGAAATAAGCTACAAGCGTGCACGAAATATAAAGTAACAGATGCAATGGAATGGTTTCTAATCAAAAATCGATGCCCATTTTTGCCTCTAAAATTTAATAACATACTTCATAAATCTTAGTTAGTTTATTCATAAATTGGACCGAAAAAGATTATTCTTGAAGAACGTAAATATAGCAATCATACAACCTGGCATAGAACAACTAAGCTCAGGTAATTTCAATACCTTCAAATGATAAGTTCTGTTACCAGGGATGGGAAGTCTAAATATTTGAGTTTCTCTGCCTTTTAGATCACAATAATTGGTCTTTATCCCATCTGACTACATTCCATATCCATCACAGTAAATAGCATCAGGCACCCTGAGGTCCATCCCCTCCTCATCCATACTGTAAACATTCTCAAGGGGCACATCCTGTCGCTTCTTCCTGGGTCTAGCAAGTTGTTGTGGTGTAACAGGAAACATAACCTGAGGTAAAGGTTGGTGGGCTCCGTGGGGTGGGGTGGGGTCGGGTGGGGCTGCTCCGTGGGACCTTGGCTTTGGTTGGAGGTTTAAAGTTGGCTTTGGGGCTGGCATCGGGGACCTTGTCTTTGGTTTAAGCGGTTGTGTTGGCTTCGTTTTCTTTGGCAGGGATGCAGTTGACGGTTCTCCAGAAACATCTTGGGTGTGTTTTTCTTTAAACTTCTTCAGACTTCCTTTAACCTTTCTCACGACCACCCTTGTCGTTGCAGGAATTTGACTAAATTTAATTTTCAACGCAGTCTGAACTACGACTACAATCAGAACTAAGCTGATCAGTGCAACACTCACAATATCCAACACACTAACATTCCTGTTAGGCTCTAGTTGGTGCTTCACACACATCGTGTTGTCAGATGACACAGTCCCCTCAGGACATTCCACACATTCCACTCCATTCCCGAAATAGTTGTCCGGACAACGGATACAGGATGAGCTAACCCAGCGGTGTCCTACTGGACAGGTAGAGCAGGAAGAGGATCCTTTCTTTGAGACGGTGTTAAACGGGCATCGGGAGCAGGAGAAGGAGGCTTGGTCGCTGTAGAAGTTCTCTGGACATTTCTGGCATTTTTGTGAGGCAGTGGACCAGTATTGGCCTGGTATGCAGGTGTTTTCTATTGGAGAAGAGTTCTGACATGTTAGCCAGATGTCACTATCATGGTCCAAACATCTTTCGTAGAACTGTGTTTGGTTTTGGTATTGACAGGAAGGTGAGGAAGGTTGTTGACTGAATGTGCATCTTCCTTCATCCAAAATCACTGGGTACATTTTCTGGAATTCTTTGACTAATTCGGGAACAATATTCTGGGCAGATCGGAACCCCATAGCTTGGCACACTCTATCACCTTCTTCACCCCCAAACTGGAAGTACTCCTTGCAGACTGTCCCGCCCTGATAGATAAGGAGACCATCACCTTTATCTGTTATCTTACCTTCAGTGTCGAGCAGGTAGAGTCTGTTGTTCCCTATAACACTTGTTGTTCCTGAGATGGAATGGTTTTTCAGATGTAAAATTTGCTTGTAACCATGATATTTATAGTAGGAGTGTGTCAGACCTTAACCAATCAGATTCAAGCTGCGACCAATCAAAAGTCAGAATCACTACCACGGGTCAAAACAAAAAAGTTTAGTGATATTACATTCTAGAAATATTCTAGAAGACATAGTTAAATATTGTTTCGTTCAACTCTTAGCGTGACTAGGGTAAAGCACATAATTTTGTCATTTTTTGGCAATTTTCCGACTGCCTGATGTAAACCATGGGTTTTAACCTCGTCTGAAATTCCGATTTAGATGAAACCTCCACCATGTTATAGTAGACAGTCTAGGCAAGTTCTAACACAAAAATGATCGAAATTGCTGGGGTTGAAGATGTTCAAAAAAATTATTTTGAAAAAATGACAAAATTAGGTGACTTTACTTAATTTTGTCACCCCGAACCTAATTTTGTCACTTGAAGATTGTGCAAAAAGTAACCGTTTCTCGGTATTTTAGACTACCTGGATGCATCATTCGAGCGCTTTTTTACCAACATTGACCTCAAAAATCCCAAAGATATGATGTTTTCATAGTTTTGTAGCTTGATGAAAAGATGACACTTTTTGGGTATCTAATCTTAGAAAATAGCCCCAAATGCCCCTGAAACCACTGGCATCTTGAAAAACGATTGGTTCTAGGCCTAGGTTGAAATTTTCATGTCTGTATTTTGTTAGTCATTTTAGATTGAAAAAATCAGATTATCCACCTAATATTTCTCGGCGAAAATATGCTATTATAAGTGTTATAAGTGCCTTATACATATCCTATGGGCAAAAAAACTTCAGAATAGTTGTATAAGGCCATTTTCAACACAATCTGTGATTTACAAGAAATTTGAGAAAGGTCGATTTTTTTGACAAAATTAGGTACTTTTGGCAAAATCGAACCTAATTTTGTCACCCTCTGTAACTTAAACAATAATTGCGCTAGAGACTTGAAAATTTGTACGTATACTTCTGCTGTAGAAGATATTTGAAATATGCAATGGCATGAAGCTAGCTCAATTACTTTTGAAATAGCAATAAATCAAAATTTTGAAAATTCCTTAAGAAAACCTTAAGGATCTTATTTATTTTTCGGGTTAACAGTTTCGCCTTCATTTTTGACACAGATGCAAAAGAGCTAGAAACTTAAACTTTGTACGAGAAGTTTCAGCAAAGTCTAAGCTTTCTTTATATACACAATCCTTTTCTTTCAAGCTGAAATTCCGAGCCGAGGCAGTTTTTCAGAGCAAAATGACAAAATTAGGTACCCTGACAAAATTATGTGCCTTACCCTAGTTATTTAAAAATATTCGTGTAGCGAAAGAGGTGTGAAAAAAGATAAGCATGGTTTTCTCTTTTAAAGTTAAAACTTTACACAACAAATATTACCTTGAATTAAAGCAAATACGATAACAAATACAATCCCAATCATCCTCTTCGTAGCAGTCCTAAACTTAACAAAGCACAACGAACAAGTATTGAATAGTCTGTATATACAGCGTAGCCCTACAAAGTGCAACATTTCGTTCAACTGTCACGTGATCAGCTCAATGAACCATTAAGCTACTCATTCAATGGTTAATTGAGCTTGTTCCTTGTTCTCGGAAGTCAATATTCTTGGATAGTATGACGTTCCTTTAGGTCTTTTAGATATCTGGTATGCACTGTGGTTAGCAGCCTTTTCATGAATAAAGAGGGCCCTAAGACTCCAAGATTAGAGTATTTTAATATCAGCTGCTCTATGACTAAAACCTTGAACTAGACTTGTTAGAAGCTTTTCAAAATATAAACTATAAGCCGCATGTTTTAATTCTCTCAGAAAGAGCTAAAAAGTGTTTATATCTCCATTTAAGGGACAGTATATGAAATTGAAGAACCCAGGAATCCGGGCAAATAGCTGAGCAATGACAGTTCTAATTGATGGCGTGACCACTGACCAGAGCTTGTTACTTGGAGCGGTCCAGCGGAACCGAGGGAAAAGGGACACTGGGTCACAGGTAAATCTATTTTTATATTATTCGGAGGGCGCCAAGACAATTTTGTACATGTCACATGACCTCGCGCTATTATATATATATAATATAATTTGCCATTCGAGCGCGCGCGCGCGTCATCAAGCTAAGCTAAGCTAGCTAGCTCAGTAAACGACCGGGGGTAGGATTTGGCCGGGGCCGGGGCCGGGGCCGGGAATGTCCAAATTTTGCCGGGGCCGGGAATTGGCCGTTCTGGAATTTGGCCGGGGCCGGGGCCGTGAATTTAATAAATCCACGGCCAAGTTAGAACTTTTCAGGACTTAGGATCTGAAAAACAAAGGACTGCTCTTGAAAGTTGGCACTCTGGACATCATCCTTTCAAAATTGAAAATCCATTTTAAGATTTATATGAAAGTTTTAGGCCGATTTCGATCAAAAATTTCCGGCCAAATTCCCGGCAAAAATTGAAAATCGGCCGGGGCCGGGGCCGGGAAGAAATAGCTCCCCCGGTGCCGGGATTTCACGGCGCCGGGAATCCCGGTCGATTACTGAGCTAACTAGCTAGCTGTGCGATTTATTCGATCAATGATCGATACCAGTAATACCAGTAGTATAGTATGTTCTACGCTAAAATCGAATGTAGAATATTCTAGAAATTCAATACACTGATCAACCAATTTGCTGACATAGCACATTGTTTAAATACTGCACCTAACGCCATTATTGATTATACATTATAAGATCAAAGAATATTGAAAGTAAAATTTAGTTAGCAACGATCCCGGTCCCAATCCCGGCTTAATTCCGGTCCCGGTCTTATTCCCGGTCCCGGTCTTATGCATTGACATCAAGAGTCAACCTGTACGTGTACTACCTTACTCGGGATTATTATGACCGGGATAAAGTGGCGGGTTTAGGGTAATTTCGCCATATTTTTCCCGAACCACATTTTCACCGGTCGTTAATAAACCCGCCGACTCAGCTTTTAGGGTTCCCAAGGGGTATGGGTGCTCATATTTTAATCGTTGTCTTATATTCACTAAAGAAGACTATTGGGACACTTGTTGTAGGTTTTTCGACTTCATTTGGCTAAAATTGCAAAAAATTCACCTTTTCGCCCAATTCTTGTCATATATCCTTATTGTCAAAGTTGATTTAAATAGGCCAATTTTTATTTTCTTAGGTATTGAATATCTCTACATAATGAAATAGGACTCAAAATAAAAGTAACAGTTAAATTAAAACTTGAATTAATTAAAACTGTCAATAACATGAATCAGTTTCATCAGTCATTTATTCATAATTCTAAACAATGTGAACGATGCATTCTTTCGAAGTTTGATTAACCACGAGTCATTATTTCTGTCTACTTTGAACAATTATTGATAATTCGACTTGTTTCACAAGTTTTAGCAATGCGAAAATTTCTAAACTTGTTGATCTCTAATAAGGAAATTTACATCTGAGACAAAATTTTTTAATCTAAAATTGAAAGGTTGGACACCGGTAAAATGGCGACCGGGAAAATGTGGTGGGTTTTGAGCAATTTCGCCATATTTTTCCCGAACCATATTTTAACCCGTCGTTAATAAACCCGTCGTAATAATCCCGAGTAAGGTACGAACTGAACACAATTATTTCCTCCTAAATGTTCCTCCTGCTCCAAACTATAGTAAAACGGAGAGAAGTTTTCGCTACTGTGGACCCTCCGTTTTGAATCAGCTTCCCTATAAATTGAGAACATTGACTGATATTGCATTGTTTAAAAAGAGACTTAAAACTCATCTTTTTGAAAAACTATTCTTATAAGTTCATAAAATAACTTCTTCATAAAAACCCATATTTCATAAAATGCCAAGTTCTTATGTACATGTTCATTGTTCATGAGTCGCTTTAGATGGCTTGAACTGAATCTTTTGATTTTGAGTTCTCTTTGGCTATAAAGCGATGTATAAATTTCTAGTTATTATTATTATAAAGGGTCTCAATAAGAGGTCTCGACTGCCTAGGCGTCAAACCTTGGCAGTCGGTAGTTTTCCTCTGGCCCGGGATCAGCTGACCCTAGGGACCAGAGGGTAAAGGTGTAGAGACTATGTGTATCTACAAATCTTTCGAAGTTGTTTTTACAAGAGACAGGGCTTGCTACGCAAGGGAAGAAAACCGGGAGAAACATTCACAAATTATACAAATAAATATTATAAAACCTAGCTAAAAGAAATTCAAACAATCCTACACTACTACAAATGTTTATTACATACTACAATGTAATACACGATGAATAAATGCTGTAAAATCAAGAAACAGGGCTTGCAGGGCAAGGGACGGAACACAGGGACTGGCTAAAGAGTGTATAAAACAGTGATTCAGCAAGTACCCATTGGGTATTGCTGAATCTGACCCACAAAATACCACAATCAATACAAGAATATACAATATTTAAACAAACATCATGTTTATACAAGAATCAGGGCATGCAGAGCAAGAGAAGAAAAATAAGAGAAAAACTCCAACACATGTATACCCCTTAGTCCAGTAAATAACAATAATTACTTGTACACAAAACTGTATAATATAAAATACATAACAAATACACAGTCTACCCAATATACGGGTTAAAAATTGTATAAACAAGAGACAGGGCTTGCATAGCAAGGGAAGAGATATAAGAGGACCAGGTAAAAAGTGTTTATTACAGTATCCAATGAAGAATAAACTAAATATAGAGTATCTACAGTGTATTATACTCTCAAAAATATCAAATGTCTAAGACCATCCTGAGAATTCTGGCTGATCCAAGTAGAGCTGTCTTCTGGAGATTAGAGATGCTCAGATTGCAGTGGACTGCGTCGAGGTGTTTACGAAAGTTAATGGTGATAGTTCCTAATGCGCCTATCACCACAGGGACGATTGTGACCTTTCGTAAATTCCAGTTCTTCTTAATTTCTCTTTTTAGGTCTTGATATTTCAGTATCTTTTCTTGTTCTCTATCCAGGATCCGGGTATCTCCTGGGACTGCAACGTCAATGATGGTTGCTGCGTTGGTTACCTTGTCTACCAGGAGGAGATCCGGTCTGCAGTGTTCGATAACGTGGTCCGACTGGACATGGAAGTCCCACAATATCTTGACTTTTTCGTTCTCCAGCACCTTCTCTGCCCGGTGTTCGTACCACCTTTTACTGCGTGGGAAGCCGTATTCCTTGCACAGACTCCAGTGCAATGCGGCAGCTACTTTGTCATGCCGACACTTATATTCTGTCTGTGAAAGTTTTGGGCACCCATTCAGTATGTGGTCTATTGTCTCGTAATGATTTCTGCAGAGTCTGCAGAGGGGAGAAGAGCCAGGTGTTTTGTCAATCCTGTGCTTCACATAATTCGTCCTAAGTGCTTGGTCTTGGGCTGCTATCAATAATCCTTCTGTCTCCTTCTTCAAGTCTTGTTGAGTGAGCCAGTTCCAAGAGGTTAACGGGTCCGCTATACCCATCATCTGCCTTGGGAACTGTCCGTGCATCACTTTAGCAGTCCACTTCTCCTTGCGGATTTCCTCGCGTTCTGTTCGGTCGATATCTTTCTCTATCTCTTCACACAAGAGTATCTTGTCTTTGACAAAGTAGTCCTTCAGAGCAATCAGTTCTGGGTCTCTACTCTTCATCACATAAGTGGTGAGTGCATTCTCCTCTCTCTTTACGACTTCCTCTATACTATGTAGCCCACGGCCACCCAGTTGACGGCTTACGTATAACCGATCAACATCTCCTTGGGGGTGTATTATTATTATTATTATTCCCGGGCCCGGTCTTATTCCCGGTCCCGGCTTAATCCCGGTCCCGGCACTTTTTCCAGTGGCCCAGTCCCGGTCCCGGTCTCAGCCAAGAAAGCGGTCCCGGTCGATCCTTGGGTAGTACTAGTATCAAACGTAAAGAAAAGTAGTTTCAAAATTCCAAAACGAAATGTAATTTCATGGTCACTCAATATTGTCTTATGAAAACGAACGAATAGAAGTCGTCGTACTTGATTATTGATATGGAAAAACTTGATAGCGTAAATCAATAATCAAGTGCGACGACTTTTACAAAGGAGAACAGCATGAGATAAATGAAAAACTTAATGTAACACTAACAATAGTTTTCTTACCTGGGCACCCCAGGCTATTAGTATTATGTTAATAAACATAATAGAGATTCGGCCAGTAATAGATTTCAATTTGTAAAAGGTGCCGATCAAAGGTATCAAAGGTAAGGTATCATTGTGTAGCACGGGATAACGGCTACACCCTTTCTTTGGCTACTAGTCAGTACTACAACACTAATTATTATTATTAGCTGTTTCTCCTATTTACCTTCCTCGGAAATAGGAAGACGGTTTTATTAGCGTTTGATATTGACTATAAGTATAACTGACACACCTTGCATGTCCTATTTCGCACGCCGGCGTGCGGGATGAAAGGACTGTAGGAAAGGTATGTCTGCAACCTTGCTAAAAACCGCGAGTTTTCAACTCCATTTTCAAGCTGAAATTAGCTTCATTGAACTTGAAGGGTCAATTTTTGGTCTATTTTCAGTGTTTTTATGCCGTTGTCGGTGAGATTTCGTCAAGTTTAAAATATAATATAGATATATGTGTAGTTTATGAATACTGTCTGCTATACATGATAAATAAATGGCTTTTAGAATCATAGTTGATAAAAGCCCAAAAAATAAGGATTAACTTAAATTTTCTGGCAAGATCCGGTAGCCTTATATATTTTTCTCTAACACCCGGTTCCAGTCCGGCTAAATCCGGCTAACCGGAAAACAGATTGATATCCGGCAAAATCCGGTCCGGCAGCCAAAATCCGAGACCGGTCGGTTCCTAGTTGGGGTGCATATTAGTCCAATGCGAGCGAGGGGCACAAAGCGCCGCCGATCAGGTAGGAACACTTAACAAAAGGTTGAGCGTTTTATAATAGGGTTTTACAATTTACATCTCCCTCAACTGTAAAGTGAGTAGTACGTTAACATCTTCAATAATTTGTGGTGTAACCTTTG